TTGCATTTTTGCGTGTGATCTAAACCCTGGCCAATGTGTGTAAAGTTCAGATTGCACTTGTACAAGAAATGTCAAATCATAACTTGCACAGCCTGTGCAACTGGGGAAATTGATAATTTCTCTTGCTTTCAGCTGTGAGGTCAGGACTCCACCATCTGTCAAGAAATTCTACAGAAACATCAACCTTTTCTTAGTTGACATCATAGCTAGCAGCAAAATGAATTCATAGCTAGCGTCAAAGGGCAGGTGAATTTGGGCCGTAGGCCACCCTACGGCATGTGATTGGGAGATCGGGGGTCATATACGCTAAAAATGGCTGTAGGCCTGCCTACGGCCAAAATCGGCAATCTCCTACGGCAATTTGGGGCCGTAGGGCTGCCTACGGCCATTTTTCGAAGGGGCCCTACAGCATTCTTGGCCGTAGGCCTCCTACGGCCCTTGGCCGACCCTGACCTGCGCAGAAAATGGCCCTTTCTGCTTATGTCAGCTCAGCTGGCCCGGCAGTTAGGATCCAGGATCTCAGATCGCACCTAATTCATAGCTAGCGTCAAAGGGCAGGTGATTTTGGCCGTACGCCAGCCTACGGCCTGAAATCGGGAAATCGGGGGTCATCTATGCTAAAAATGGCTGTAGGGCCACCTACAGCCGGAAAATTGGGGCGGTAGGGCTACCTACGGCCATTTTCTGAGGGGCAGCTACGGCATTTCCAGCCATAGGGCCTCCCACAGCCTGACGACCCTACCCTGCGCAGGAAAATGGCCCTTTCTGCTTACATCAGCTCAGGAGGCCCTGCGCACGCGCGCTGGCCCCTTTGCTACCTGGCCCTTTGCAAAATCCATCCGCTGCCCGCCTGCCTCTCCTGCCCTCCTACCACCACCACCCGGTGCCAGCCGCCATCACCTGGTGCCAGCTGCCACCACTTGCCAGCAGCCGCCACCACCCGCCAGCATCCGCCAGCCAGCCGTCAGCCAGCCGACAGCGCAGCCAGCAGCCAGCCAGCCCGCCAGCCGCCAGCCGCCAGCCGTCAGCCCTGCCTGCCGCCCAGCGCAGCCACCTGCCCGCCAGCATCCGCCAGCCAGCGTCAGCCAGCCGTCAGCCCAGCGCAGCCACCCGCCAGCCCAATCCAGCCCCCTGGCCCAGCCAGCACCCGCCAGCCGCTCGCCAGCCCAGCCCAGCCGCGTGACTCAGCTGGTACCTGAGCCAGCCAGCCAGCCAGCAGCCACCCAAGCCGTCAGGCCAGCCAGCCGTCAGGCCAGCCAGCCGCCAGCCAACAGCCAGCCGCCCATCCAGCGCAGCCGCCCACCCAGCGTACCCGCCAGCCAAGCGCAGCCGCCGCTCAAGCCAGCCAGCCAGCCAGCTGCCAGCCAGCTGCCCGAGCCAGCCGCCAGCCGGCCCAGCCAGCCACCCGGTGAGCTGCCAGCTGCTGCTGCTCCGCACTGCTTGCTTTCCGCCCCGCTGCCGCCGTCAATCATCGGAGACTTCGGAGAGGCCCTCTCCGGCGTCTCCGATGATTGAGACCACTAACCGCTCTGCTCTGCTCCGCCTGTGCACAGCTCACCTTGCCGATGCCTGCTGGTGTTGCCGCTCTGGTGAGTTGACAGTTGCCGCTCTTCTTCTGCCGCTCCGCTGCGCGCAGTTGCTGACTCCTTTGCTCCCCTCTACTTGCCTGCTCCTCCCTCATCCCCTTGCTTTGCTGCTGCCGCCCCGTCGCCGCACGCAATCACCTGCCTTCCTGCCTCCTTGCCCTGCAACCCACCAATGCTGTTGCTGTGCCGCCGCACATCAGTGTAACTAGATTTTGCAATACAATGCCGGTAGAATACATACGGCTGTGGGTGCGAGGGAGGGCCTACGGTAGGCAGGGCGTAGGGTGCCTACGGCATCTGGGTGCCGTAGGGGATTAACGATCTCCTACGGCACTGCCATATCGTACAAGATCTACGATATCTGAAATCGTAGCCTAAAGCCTGCCCCTAGCTATGATTGCACGTTTTGTGCGCTTTTGGGGAATCACACAAGCTGGCTGCATCTGGATTTCCAAATGCTTGTACATGTGCGATTTTTTCGGACCAGATCCTGCTGCTAGCTATGAATGGTGGAACTGTAAACATGGCTATGCATGCGTGCTTTACCTGCGGATATGGGGATTGTTGGTGTCCTACGGCCCTGCGGTGCGTAGGGGTCCCACGGCCCAAAGTTCGAAGTGGTAGACCGTCTGAGTACGACCGTGGGGGTGCGAAGGAGATCCCAGCTATGTTTGCTTCTTCATACGACGTGCCGGCATGAAGGGAGTATCCGAGTCGGGCCGCGTTTCCGCTCTAGCTTGGTTTCACGGGCGTGCTCGTTGATGCAACTTCCTGACTGATGTCGATCATTGACCCCAAGTTTCCTCCTCGTGACCGTCCATCCCACCGGTGCGCTTCAAGGGCACGGCAGCACTCCCTCCTAGCAGCTCTGAGCTGATATGATCGCGAGCCAACGGCGCGATCTATGTGGTGCCTTTTCGGGGAGGATGGGTGCGTGCAACGGACCAAAAATATACATGCATCCTTCAACGATGCGAGTTGGGAGCTGCGGGGACGGGCCGATGCGAGAGCGCCTAGAGCTTGCCGGCCTCGATGCCCTGCTTCTTGAGCGCGTTGGTCAGGCGGTCGCGGACGGCGTCAAGGAACTCCTCGGTGCTGTAAACGGGCAAAGGATAGGGCGGGGACAAGAGACGAGGGGAGTAGAAGATCAGTCAGACCAAGGAGTCGAAAGACACGTCCTTGCACAGGCTCGAGGGCAGGGCGAGGGACGCACCTGAGGTAGTGCTCGCGCTTGAGGTTCTTGCCGTGCAGGCTGAGGGCGAGGTCCTTTGTGAGCTGGTTGTTGTTGACGCAGTCGATGCACGCCTTCTCGAGCTCCTTGGCAAAAGTGACGAGCTCCTCGTTCTGGTCGAGCTTGCCACGGTGGGCGAGACCGCGGGTCCAGGCGTAGATCGACGCAATCGAGTTGGTCGACGTCTCCTGTCCCTTCTGGTGCTGGCGGTAGTGGCGGGTGACGGTGCCGTGAGCGGCTTCGGACTCGCAGATCTCGCCGTCGGGCGTGAGGAGGACCGAGGTCATGAGGCCGAGGCTCCCGAAGCCCTGGGCAACAATGTCGGACTGGACGTCGCCGTCGTAGTTCTTGCACGCCCACACCATGCCGCCGTCACCCTTGATGATCTGTGCGACGGCGTCGTCGATGAGGCGGTGCTCGTACCAGATGCCCTTGGCGTCAAACTCCTTCTTGTACTGGGTGTCGTAGATCTCCTGGAAGACGTCCTTGAACTTGCCGTCGTAGGCCTTGAGGATGGTGTTCTTGGTCGAGAGGATCATGGGGTAGCCCGACGAGAGCGCCATCTTGAAGCAGGCATGGGCGAATCCGGTGATGGACTCGGTCGTGTTGTACATGCCCATACCAACGCCTCCGCCCTCGGGGAAGTTGAAGATGTCAAAGTGCTGGGCGGGCTGCGACGAGTCTTCGGGCTGGAAGGTCATGGTGAACTTGCCCTTGCCCGGGGCGACAAAGTTCTGGCAGCGGTACTGGTCGCCAAAGGCGTGGCGTCCGATGATGATGGGCTTGGTCCAGCCGGGGACGGGGCGGGGAATGTTTTCGACGACGATGGGCTCGCGGAAGACGGTACCGCCAAGGATGTTGCGGATGGTGCCATTGGGGCTGAGCCACATCTTCTTGAGGCCAAACTCCTTGACGCGCGCCTCGTCGGGCGTGATGGTGGCGCACTTGACGCCGACCTTGTACTTCTTGATGGCCTCTGCGGCCTCGACGGTGACCTTGTCGTCGGTGGCGTCGCGGTGCTCCATGCCGAGGTCGTAGTACTTGAGGTCAATGTCGAGGAAAGGCAGGATGAGCTCCTCGCGGATCTTGTGCCAGATGATGCGGGTCATCTCATCGCCATCGAGCTCGACGACGGGGTTGGCCACCTTGATCTTGGCTGCGGAGCGGAAGGACATGGTGGGCGGTGGGCGCGGAAGTGGCGAGGGGCGGACGAGGGGGGAGGCAAGGTAGCGCGAGACGGTGGCGAGCGAGATGGAGCAACTCAAGTTGTCAGTGGCAGGGCGAGACGGAGACGGAGACGGAGCAAGGTGGTGGTCGCGATGACGAAAGAGGGGCGTCGTGGTGAGTGGTGGGGCGATGAGAACCCAGTGGGGAGCGGGCTAGATGTACCTAGCACTCGGGCGAGGAGGGGGGGCTGCCGCGCCGCTGGGACGAGGGGGCGGCGCGGAGGAAGAAAAGCCGACCGACCGAGGGGAACGGAGGTCTCCGGCCGCGACAAGCGGGTTGGGGACGGGGGGCGCCAGAGGGCAAGCAAGCGGGCGTCCGTGCGGGCGGGCTGCACCCTCCCTCCGGCTGGCTGGCTGACTGGCTGACTGGCTGGGAATTACGGCCTGCTGCTTCTCTGCCCCGTGGCCAATCAAGCGGCCGAAAAAAATGGCGAGCGCCGTTTTGAAATGCGGGGCGCCAGGCCAGGGCCAGCCGGGCGCGCGGGGCAACGACGAGGGCGGCGGCGGGGGCAGCGCAGCGAGGAGGAACCGCAGAGAGCGGATCAGGGATTAACCCTGCCTGGCTGGCAGCCTCTCTTCCCCCACGCTCTACGCTCTGCGCTCTGGCCAGCCAAGGCCAAGCAAGGACAGGCTGGCCAAAGTTTGGAAGAAATCAAGCAGGCAGGGAGCGTCCGTCCGTCCGTCCGTCTTCCCGATGGCCTCGGCCGGCCGGCCGGCCTCCTGCCCGGCCTCTGGCCCTCGCCTTGCTGGGCTGTCCCCCCACCCCAGCCAGTCCCGCCTCTGGTCACCCGCCGACGGCAAAAAAGGCGCGATCTCCGAACCGAGCAGTAGTCGCCCTTAATCCGCCTTGGCCCTTGCTGGGTTCTCGAGGACCTCCCTAAAGCCGGTGCCGATATCAAGCGAATCGGATGCGAAACGGGGCGTGACATCGGGCAGCGACACCGCTCCAAGGACACTCACCGGCAGTCATGGTCGACGAGAAGCTCCGCATGGCGAGCGCCTGGTGGAAGCTTGAGGCCGGGCCCGACGCCGATGCGGCAGGAGCGTAGGCAGCGGCGGCGCCCCGAGACGCCAGAAGCGGCGAGTGGGACGCACGACCGAGTTCCAACATCGGGCGATGGGGGCGGGCCAGATGGGCAGCCGCAGACGACGTCGTCGAGAAGCCACGCGACCCGAGCTGGAGGCCGCGGCTGGCGGCTGTGGTGGCGATGCGGCAAGAGGGCATCTGATTTGGACGTCACAGAGGGGCACGGAGCAGCGGAGGAGGGCTGGTTAGCAACATCATCTTCCAGGAACGAAAGGATGGCCAGCTCGAACCACGGCGCCGCACAGGCACGGCAGAGCGAAAGCAGCATGCGAATGAAGACGAGGTCGCACAGGCAGCCGGAAATCGAAAGCACCGTTAAGCGCAATATGCCAGACGAGGGAGCACGGTCGGTGTTGGGACCGCTGCGACGAGCTGAACTGGGTCGTAGGCGGGCCGGCTCGCAGATGTGAGCGACCAAGCGAAGCAGCGGTAGTCGTTGTGATGTCGGGTAGCCCATATTCGGCCAGCCGGGGTCGACGGTGCCGCAGAGATGGTGAGCCTGACGACGTAAAGCGTGCGATGCCTCCGCGTCGGCGAGATATTGATGGATCTTTGCTGGTCGCAGGTCCATGCACCTCGACCATGAACTGTCCAGCGTGGACGGCTGAGGGCGATCTGGCTGCGGTCGAGTCCGCGATGCGGTCGACGAAGCTTGCTGGGGATGGAGCGCAGCGAGCAGACCACCAGCCTGGGCTCACCTTGGGTTCTTGCTACGTTTGGTTGGGCCAAGGTCAAGGACGTGGAGTGGTAGAGAGGTAAGTCGGGACGAGACAAGCTGCCGATTGCGAGCTGGACAAGCAAGGAGAATAGGGGCACGGCGGTTGGTGGTGGGGATGACAGCGGGCCGACCTCGTCAGGAAGAAGTAGTGGACGTGCGTCTGGGTCGCTTGCAGCAGCAGCCCGGATGGCCGCCAGGCTGGAAGAGGCCATAAAGGGCCCGCGGGGGCCACGGCCGTGAAACTGAAAACAGCGGCCTGCTCCACTTTGCACCTGTCCTAGTCACCGCTTCGTCCCGGCCACAGTCTCGGCCGGCAGGGGGCGTGTGTCGCACCGCAGGCATGCCACCTCGCCAGGCCTGGCGAGGCAGCGCTCGTCGTGATGGGATAAGAGGGGCTGCGATGGCCAGGGCGATACAAGTACAGGAGGGATAGAGAGATGGAACTACCGCTCAGATGACGGTGTTGCTGAGCTCAATGTGTCGGGGCAGCTTGACAAACGTGTCGCACCCGTGGCCGTACAGGCTGACCAGGTCGAGCGAAGACTGATTCTTCCAGTACTCGCAGTAGATCTTGGCCATGGGAAGGCCGTAGCCCAGCCCCGCCAGCGTACCCAGCCCGGAAGCGAGCCCCATCTTGCCCATCTCGGCCAGCGCATCGCCCCCGGTGCCACCCACCGCCTGCATCGCGTACGGCCCGCCTCCCGTCTCCTCGGCCTCGTCTTCTTCGCTCCTGCTGCCGTCCGACGACCCGGCAGTGGTAAAGGCGTAGGAGAAGATGTGGGGCAGGTTGCTGGGCGAAATTCCGCCACCCTGGTCGCGGATCCGCAGCGAGATGTGCGAGGCGCTCTGGGCAATCGTGACAATCACGGGCGGCATCTCGCCCGGCGACTTGGAGCGCAAGTGAGCCTCGGTAGTGGCGCGGTACGAGTTCTTGAGCAGCTCCGTCATGACGTACTCGAGGTGCACGGGAACGCCCGTGTACGTGGCCTCGAGGTCGCCTTCGAGCTGCAGCTCCGGCGCCGACCCTAGTGTGGCCTCGCACAGATCCCGGACAAAGTCGGCGCACATCCTCGTCATGCGCGCCGGCGAGAGCTGCGTCTCGATGATGCCGATGGCCGTGGGCGATCCGTAGGCGTGCGCGCTCAAATCCTCGGGCGACGAGGGAGATGGCAGGTCTGGGTCGAGCTGGTGCAGGTTGTTGGAGAGCGCCGGGCGGATGTGTTCCATGCCCTGCGAGGTGGCCGAGAGGGCAAGGTGCTGCTCGGCGATCATGCGGATCGCGACGCGGCTGTGGATCGCCCCGTCGAGGAAGGAAGAGATCTGACGAGCGTCCATGTAGCGCTTCGACTCTTGGAACCCTGCGGGGGTGGCAGATGTTGCAAGACGAAATGGGGGGCGTGTCAGTCTCGCCTGGTCCGCTGCTGCTGGCTCGAGCCTCGCTCGCGGCGACTCACCTCGGGCCAGCGTCGGGATGTTTTGGGCGTGGGCACTGACGAGGTCCTCGAGGACCGCGGTGAACTTGACATTGTCCTCCTGCGTCTGGATGGGCCCGAACTTGGCAATGGTCTCGAAGCTGCCAGCGTACAGCCTGGCAATCTTTGAGATAAAAGGATTGCTGCCTACGATGAAGGGAAGCGCCCTGAAGCCGCCGACGCGGCGGGCGAGGCGGATGGGCAGCTCGCGCTGCGTGTGCTGCGCCGAGGCGAGGAGCTGCTGGGGCGTCGGAGGCTGACCAGGCTTGCCGCCCTGCGCCATCAGCTGTCGCAGCGTCAGCGGTGCCGGTGAGAGGTTGAGGTAGCGGGAGAGGAGGTCTGGCGAGGCGCCAAACGTGGAGAAGGAGGATGGTGGTGGGTATAAGGGCTCTGCGTCTGCGCTGCTGGATGGGGGCAGGAAAGGTTCTGGCGGCGGGAAGTAGCTGGCTTGAGGGGTGGTCGACGTCGATACGAGACGAGTCGCTGCTGGCAGTCGCCGTCGACTGGCTCGCAGCAGCAGCGGCGGCGCTTGCCGTGCGGCTGCGAAGATGATGCGCGGCATCGCCGTGGCGCTCAAGGTGCTAATCGAGGCTGCCAACGAACAGCAGCGATCGCAGAAATTGTTCCGTTGCGTTTGGTGGAGCGGCGACTCTGGCGCAGTGTAGGGCGGCCTCTTTGGTGAGTGCGATGCAAGCAACGGCGGGTCGAGCAGTGCTGGGTGGCCGTGTCGTTGCTGGAAGCGGCAGAGGTGGTGATGGGGCAAACGAAAGCGACGAGTCAGACATTCCCTTTGGATTGGCTCGGGCGACAGGAGACGACGAGTGGAGGGCACGCACGGACGTGCCTCTGAGGGGGAAACTGCTGCAGCAGCAGCGGCAATCCTACTGAGCAGCATGCTCAACAGCTTGCTCGTGGCGACTTGATCGCTGCTCAAGCCGCCTTGACACCATGTTGCAAGGTGTGAAGATGTGTGTGCAGCTGAAATGGCACTTGCAGCACTGCGGTAAAGCTGCAGCAAGTCGGCAGCCGGCACGGAGCCAGCGCGGGATCGCCGCAGCCCTTGCAAATGGAAACCGCTAGACACAACCCATACTCACCAGCAAGCGTCTGGCCTGATTGATAGCGCAGGTAAGATTAAGCCAAGTCGGAAACAAGCACACCAGGTGTTGCCCTGTTGCCTACTTTGCCCATCCACCGCCGGACGCTGGAACCGCCAGCGCCGCGCCAAGTCAAAATCACGCGCACAATCTGCAGGCCGATGAAAACGATGGCATTACTACCGATGGTATGGAAATCAGGACAGAGCAGGAAGAAGGGGGTAGTCGAGCCCCTACGACAAAGAGGGGGCGGGAGTCGAGGGACGAAAAAAGGAAAGAGAGTGGGTGTGATGACGGGGCGATTGCACATCTAACGCTGCGACTTGGGTGCGAGCGAGATGACGGGCAGGGTAAAGTACGAGTTGTTCTTGGTCAACATCGAGGCCGTTCCGAGGTAGAAACCAAACGCAGCCGTGATGATGCCCCAAGCTGCGGCGGTGGCACAAAAGCGAGTGCAACAAGGGGGGATTGTCAGCTCGACATCGTTCGGGAGATGGTAAACAAGAGCGAAGTGACAGCAGTGAGCACTCACCACCGCCGGCGATCTTGAGAGTGTGGTTGTCGAGGTAGTAGTGCAGTCCGAGGAGGATGAACGTGATCCAGAGCGCGAAGATGAGCGCGAACAGAGCGACGGATCCGCGGAGGGACGCAATCTGTCACACGCGGCGAGTCGAGGACCAAGGGGATTCGGAAGTCAGTTCGTGGCAGGAAACGTATCCTCCTCGCTCACGCTTCGCACTCACGAGGTACACGGTCGTGATACCGAACCAGATCCAGAGGTAAAGGCCGATCGCGTCCGCCTCCTCGCCCGCGAAAGGCGATCCCGTAGCGTAAACACCGGGGCGACCGTTGTAGGTTCCCGTGATGCCAAAGAACGGAATCTGAAGGAGGGAAAAGGCGGGGATGGTCCGGAGCGGCCGTCAGCACCCCGAACACCATCCCAAGTCATCGCAGAACCATCTTTGGACGCCGGCAACATCACAAACGTACCAATATCATCGAGAAGCCCCACCAAAAGAGGCCTGTATGACACGGGAAAAGCGAATCAGAGCATGTCAGGGATGTGTAGCGGGTGTAGGAGGTGCAGGAGGGGTGATGTTGAGCAAGGGGGCGAAGGGGGACGCGACGCGGCGGTAGCAGCTCGCGGGTGGCGGCGACAACGACGACGGCGTCGGGAATGTGGAGGCAGGTCGAGTAGTGGATGCTTACCGAAGCTGCAGAAGACGGTGGCGCCAAAGGTGTTGCCGCAGGCAAACTCCCACAAGCCGGCGAGGTACTGGGCGCCACCACCGAAGCTGTTTTCGAGGTCGACGAGGCAAGAGGAAGTGCCGATCAGCATGTTGCTGTCCTGCTGGCGACAGGACATCGCGGCATGGTAGGATGAGACACTCACACGAGGGCGTAGGAGAGAATGGCGTTGGGGACCTGGACACCGGCGGCCTCGACGTTGTACAGCGAAAGGAGAAGCGTCGTGGTCGAGAAGCCAAAGACTGTCGAAGCACGGAATAGAACAGCAACGGGCCGGCCGTCAGCGGAACGAGTCTTTCAGGGAATTCCAAGGGCCATGGAACTCACCTCCGAGTGGCAGCGGGTTGGCGATCCTGCGGTGTGCGTTGCCGATGGCGATCAGGTCGTCGTCGGCGAGATGTCCGCCGGCGGTGAGCTGGCGCTTGAGCGAGTAGCCCTGGGCGTGGTACTGGGGAGCCTGGTGCGCGATGGTGCCGTTCCCATTGGCGGCGTGCTTCTCGTTGTGGAGCGAGCCAGAGTTGTTGCCGTTGACTTCGGTGCCCACGGCGGTGTGGTTGCCGTTGGCGGCGGCGGTGTTGGGCTCCGTCATCGCGTAGCCGGAAGACATGTTGGGCGCGCGGTCGTTCACTGGTAGCGGAATAGGTGGCGGACTCAAGGGAGGACGGAGGTGGTGGTGGTGGTGAATGAGGAGGATGGGATGGAAGGGGAGGGGAGGGGACCGATGGAGAACAAGAGTAGTGAAAGGACCAACGGACGATGGCCAGGATGGTCGACAAGGGGTTGCGGGGGGCGGTCAGGTCGTTGTCCTCGTCGGACTGTGGGTTGTTTGGCAACGGCCACTCGCTTCTCGTCTGTCCTAGAGCGCGGTACTTACCTGGGACTGCACCACGGAGAGCTCGAGGGCCTTTGCCCCGCCAAAGGGGGGCCCCGCCGCTTCGTCAGACGTATGTGCCTGGCACTGGGTTGCGCTGGCGAACTCCCGACTAGAGCCCTCATTCCTGTTACTCAGAGTAGTGCCCCCGACGGCACATCCACCGCTGGGACCGGATCTCGTGGGTCTTGGTCCGTCTGGTCTCGGCAAGTCTCGAAGCGATTGCAGGACGGCGTGTACCGGTAGCCGGGAAGAGTGCCGGGTCAGCCTGCCATAGGCGGACAAAAAAAGGGGAAGTCTTGCGATGTCTGCCCGCCATCTCCGGAACGAGCGAGCGGAAAGTCAACAGAACCTGGTGGTGACACACACCACGCACGATGCGGTGCCTGGAGAGTGAGCTGATGCGAAGTGCGTACACGAACAAAGGTGGCCAGAGCGTCTCGGGGTGGACGGTGGTCGGGCCACGGACGAGGCCGAGAAGCGACGACGAAGACGAAGACGACGACGACGACGACGACGACGGCAACAAATGCGGGGTATGTAGGCAAGCGAGCGGGCAGGCAGGCAGGCACGCAGGCAGGCAGGCAGGCACCGCGGGCTGCGTTAGCGTGGAAAGGCTGGAAAAAGGAAGGTTTTCCACTCCAGCGGGGCATGCTGGCTGCCATGCTGCGCCGCCGATAGGCGGGGGACCAGTTGGTGTCATCGACCGGGTGTTTCATAAACCAGCAGCTGTGCACGCTCACACTACTCCTGCTTTGCACTCTGATCGAGCAGTGCCGCTTATGATCGAGTACAGTAGGAATCCCTCTCGCCGAGGTGGCCTCATGACCTACCGTTCTCGGCAGAGCGGTGACGGCGTGTTTACGATGTCTTGATGCCGCGCCGCACGCGGAGAGCCGGGGGGGAGTCGGCGGGTGTCACTCAAGGGAGGCCCGTGGTCCTCGAGATGCGGGGAATGGGCGTCTACGGTGCTTTAGCCGTGTGCGACACCCTAGCCTGCCGGTCCAAGCGAGCCCATCCAATGGTTCGGCAAGCCACCTTTTCTCCATCATCGCGCGGCGGCGACGGCGGCCGGGGAAGCAGAAAAACACGCGCCCCCCCGCCCCCCCGCCCCCCCCGCCTCCTGTGTGTGGCTTGGCTGCGCGTCGTCCACCCGGCTGGCCTTCCGTATCTGACCTCTAAATCGAGCCACTTCGATCCACTCAGCGCACAAGCGGCGATGGAGCTGGATATTCTTGGCGTGGACGAGAGGGGGTAGGCGAAGATGATGAGCAACGATCGACGCTCGGCGGTGGCGCTCCGAGTGGCATCCTACACTATTGTACAGAATATTTCTCTATGCATCCATTCATGACGGAAAGCGGAGAGAGGCCAGAAGTCGACAGACGGTGCTCACTACTGTATCTGTCACACTACTGATTTCCTGCCTGCTAGGATTACCGTCAGAGTATCGGCATACAGATCAGCTGGCCGTCTGCCAGGCACAGTACGTAGTAACCAGGAGACAAATTGGCCGCGATGGAGCGTCGCAAGTCCAACTTCCGACGCCGCCGGGCATCGGCACGTCGCCGTTCCAAAAAGAAAAAAGCGACGAAGGCCGCGCGTCAATAATTTTGCTCGGCTTGACGACCGGATGGTTGACACTCCGCCTTCCACGAGGAAAGGGGGGCCGAAAGCAAGTGAGACCTGGCCAGGCACCCACCGGTCCCTACGCAAGTCCCCCTCCCCTCGGGACAACAACTCCGTTTGCCGTGCCGTATTGAGACCTCTGAAGTCCGTGACTCGGTCGTCGCCGCCGTCGGGTCCAAGCACAGCGCAGAAACACCTTTGGCTTCACCTACAGTAGGTACCTACGTAGCGAGATCTCGCTCCTCGAGGAGGGGGAGATCAAATCAATAAGAGAAAAGCTACGCGGTAATCGCCAAGGTGCGTCGGTAGCGGGGAGAAGCGTCGCTTGACTGCGATCGGCGGAGTTGGCAGGCCTCGCAGACCCGCGAGCATGTGCCGTTGCAGCAGTTACGTGGAGACGAGGCATGCGTTGCAGCTAGCCATGCCATGACGAGTGCCAAGCAGAGGTGAGCGCCGCCGCGCCTTTTTTGGCGCTACCGTACGCTCTCGAAATCAGACGAGAAACGAGCGTGGATGGAATACGGACGGCGGACCAGGACGAGCCGAACAAGCGGGAGGCTGACCCACCAACGTATGTACACACACTTTGGCATGCTGGATGCCGTGGTTGGACTTTGCTGGGGCGGATGTACATACACAGGCCGCACGTTGGTGGCGGGGGGGGGGATGCGATGGTGGTGGGGCTTTGCGTTGACTTTGTGCGCGCGCTGGCGGTGGCCTGCGCTTTGGATGTTGCGTGCGTCTGCGCGGGGCGTGCAACGCTCAGAGGCAGGTACAGACGAACCTCCGCGGCGACGGCGGGTCAATGCATGCATGCAGAAGCGGGCGGGCGCGCAGGTGGACCGGAGGCAGGCAGGCAGGCAGTGAGGCAGGCCTCGGGCATGCCGGCCTAACTAGAGCCTCTGACACAGACAGACACGAGTCGAAATGCGGGGGTCACCGGTACGCGACTGCCGAACCTCGCCCAGCACCTGGCTGGCTCCATACCGGCTTGGCTTTGCCTGGCACGCCCTTTGGTGCCTCTTCTTCCACCTGGACAGAGGATCGCAATTTGGTTGAGCCGGAACCATCATTGCCGAGTCTCGGTGCCACCTTGTAACCGTGTCCCATATGAGTACACCATGCCTACCGCGCCACCTGACGGGCTAAGCGCCCGTGCCGTGACCTGGAGTCATGAGAGAGTACGAGTGCGGTGGTACGGTACTCTGTAGGTAGGTACTCTGTAGGTACCTAACCGCAAGACGCCCGCTAGGCGTCCCGCCGTCTCGATCTTCGGCATCGCCCTGACGGGCAACACATACAGATGAGCTGAAGCTCAAGACCGCCGCTCCTCGGCTCGCTGATGTCGCCCGTCGACCAGCCGTGTGTCACCCCCGCATCGGTCACCGTTCTGCCCCTCGTTGGTGTCATACCGTGTCTACCGTATCCCCGCACCAGAGTCCCGCCCGTTCTTTGTGGAGCCCCGACGCACGCCTTGCCCTTATTCCCCCGTGGGTGTTTACCCCCAAAGCCCGGCTACGCCCGCCCCCGTCTGTCTGGACTGTTTCGTCTCCTTGGTCGTTCGCAAGCTTGCACGACCCCCTCTCTCTAACCCTCCCCCTTTCCCCTCGACCTGACCATTTTCTACTCTACGGACCCGCAACCCACCTGCTCCTCGCCCCTACCGTCGCCACCACCACCACCACCACCACCCTCCCTGCCCTGGCCATCCGTCCGCCCCCTTCCTACACCAACCGACCACCAACGCTCACGCACAACTGCGAACCGCGACCATGACCACCCCTTACCGTGTGCCATCGCTCAAGGCCCAGTTTGGCCTGGCCGAGGACCCCAATGCCCCAGCCCACATCACCACTTCGGCCGGCCACAAGCTCACCCGCACAATCACACCCGGCGGCCATGAGCTCGACTCGACCCAGCCCGGTTTCCCTGTGTACCACCGCAGGATCGCAAAGTGAGTCACAGCGTCGTGGAGCCATTGCTGAACAAGCGTATGAGTGGGAGCGAGAAGGCTGACTGCCCCGCTGCCTTGATCATCCTCGCATCACAGCCCCGTCCCGTTGATGTCGATCGCCACAGGTGCCTCTCTCATGATCCTGGTGCGTGTCGGACAGGCCACTATTGGCTTGCCTCCGGCCAGCATCCTCTTTGACGTCCTTCTGACCCTTTGTGCCGCTTGTCGATCGCCTTTCTGCCGCTATGCAGGGCTTCGGTCTTTGCAAGATCCGCAACATTGAGAACTACACCATCTGTGAGTTGCTGACCGCCCAACACAGTTCCGCCTCTGTAGTCTCGACGTGTGCACTTACACGTCCCCTGCGTACCTGCCCCCATCGCAAACAGGGTACACCGTCGGTCTCCCCCTTGGCATGGTGGGCAACTTTACTGCCTGTGAGTGCCTGCGTGCGGTGCCGTGCCTGTCGTGCCGTAGGATCGGACAAGGTGGCTGACATCGGATCGCATTCCCTGCCCCGCCCACATTGTGTAGCCATGTTCGCCTTCGCCGAGGGTTCCACCTTCCTTGCCACCCTCGCCGGCACCCTCGCTGGCCTGCTCGGAGGTCTTGCCATCTGCTGTGAGTCGTCGGATGTGTCGCGTGTCGAAACAGAACCGAGACTGATCCAGGACCTCGCCTTCCCCGCCACACTCCTTCTTTGGCGCAGTCCTTCCCTGGGCCGGTGTCCAGGCCTCGTACGTCGTCGGAGCGGCCGGTAACATTCAGCAGGGAACTCTCGACTTTTACACTGCTGTGAGCGGCCAGATAGCGGTGTTGCTCCGTCCCGGTTTCCTGATGGTATGGTCTACAGCGCTGTTGCTGACAACGTGTGAGCTCTTCACCCGCTGCATCCCCTGGTCTTGCGTCCCCAACAGGTTTCGATGGTGACGCTGGTTGGAATGGTCCCGCTCTTCTGCATCCTGCTGGCTTCGCTGCGCTCGTCGGTCCCTGTGACGCAGTCGATCACGCTCATCATCATCGCGCTCATCCTCGAGGGCGTAAACAACCTCCAGTACCCGCGTCCCGCGCTCCAGACGGCAGGCGGCGTCATCTTTATCATCGTTGGCGTGACGCTCGAGTACCTGGCAGTCGCCGTCATGCTCCAGGAGGAGGGCCTCAAGCTTGTGAGTCCACTGTGCAGCCCGCACTAAAAAGAAAACGGAGGGGCGACTGAAAAGCTGACCGCGTTGCTCTGTTCGTCTCGTTGCTTCTGCGCCACTGCCCCTTTTCAGCTCCCCGTCATGCCCCTTCCTCGCGTCGAATGAGCGGCCGAGTTGGTATACCTACCGACGGCCAGGAGAAGTTGGCCTGTCATTCACTTTCTTTGCTTTAGTAGCTGGCTGCGGGCGAGGGCTACGGCGTCGCAAGGCGTGCCAGCTTCGTCGCAAGTCGCCTCGTCCGCACCTATTCCCTCTGACCCTCTTTCTCTTCTTCACTTGGCGCTCTTGTCCTACCCAACTGTTGCTGCACGTCCGCGCCTGCTCACGTCGTTGGTGGCGGTCCAAGGGCCTCGTGCGCCTAGCGACCCTTCTGTTTCACCTCATCTGCTGCCTTCGTAATCTATCACCTGGAGTTGTTCAAGTGGCACATTGTGGCGCTCACTGCTGCCCCTGGATGTTTGGTGGCACGGTGATGGTGCGAGAGTGTGTGTACGAAAGGTCATGTCGGCCGCTGCCAACGTGAGGACAAAGAACGCGCTCGGGCCTACTTTAGAGGCTGGTGAAACCCGAATTAATTGAATGGCGGTGCTGGTCCCGACTCCCGAACTCGGCTTCGGCCTCCGCACAGCCCCCCCCACCCGCGGACGGATCAAGGGGCGACGGAGTCTAGTCGACCTGCTGGCATACCGCACCTTTGGCCTCCTCCTCTTCCCCTCTTCGCACCACCGTGCCTTCTCCTTATCATCATCAAATATCGTCATCTTCTTCTCATATCCGCCTCCCCCTCTTCACCCCGATCGACCGAAAACGACAGCCAACAATGTCCGAACCGGTGCAAACCGACAAGCTCGACCTGACGGAACTCGACCACGCACTCAACGAAGAGGGCGCCGCGTCCACCTCCCGCAAGGACAATTCCTTGGCAAGCCACTCCGAGACACTGTCCCAACCACCGGCTGATGCCACTGCTGCACAGGTAGTGGACAAAGACAAGGAGGAGCCCAAGAGGGAAGGCTCGCCAGATACCCTGTCGCCCAACTCGGCTCGATCCCTCTCGCCCGTTCCCGCTGCGAAACCCGAGATGGCTTCCACGTATACGGCAGCCCCTTCGCCGCCGAAGACGACGACGACGACGACGACGAAGACGACGACAGCGACGAAGGATCAGCAGCAGCAATCGAAGAACGACGAGCAGAGAGATCGGATCGCGACGCCGGTACAGGAACTCAAGGCCATGTTCCCCGACTTTGACCCAGAGACTATCGCTGCCGTCCTCGCATCTTCCGCCGGCAACCAGGAGGCTGGTGAGTGTTCCCTCCGGTCACGGCCATTCTTCTTCGTGAAAGACTGACACTGACGCCGTGGATCGGTCGGATCGAACTCGCGAAACACTGCAGCGGTCAATGCGCTCCTGCAGATGTCCGATCCATCCTACCGCCCTGCGCCGTCTTCGACCGGCAGTCAAACCGACTCGGATGCATTGTTGGCTCAGACACTCGCAGCGGAAGAGGAGCGCAACCACCAACTTCGCCAACGTCAGTTCCAGCAGCAGCAAGCAGCTGCCGCAGCTGGAGGGAGAGGAGGTGGCGGGTCGGGGGCGTTCTTCAGCGAGCTCACCTCGCTGATTGGTGGAGGTGCCGGTGGTGGCGGTTCGCAGCCCACGACGCCGAGCTACGACGCCAACAACCTCACATATCAGCCACGAGTGCGTCGTCAACCCGCATCGGCTTCCGCAAGAGCTGCCTACGCCGCCCCTTCTCCCGGCAGCGGACTGGGCGCTGGTGGCAACACGAACCAGAGCGTCGTTCCGGGCATGCCCGGACCCAACGAGGCAAAGCAGTGGCAGGACGGCATCAACCGGATGGCTGAGAGTGGGTACTGGCTTGGTCCGCATTTCACGCGAGCAAGCCCGAAAACTCATCGACCATCCATCCCGCTTCGCCCCGCTCTGTCCGCTTCCCACACTCTCTGCAGCCGGACTGGCGCGGGCAGCCTCGACCTTTTCATCCCTCAAGCAACGCGCCGAGGCTGCGCTTGCTAACAGCCAAACTCCAAGCCCAGGCGGTCAGTCGACTCCGACCGGCTCATCCCCCAGCGGCGCCGGCAGCGGCAACGGCGGAGGAGGAGGATTCTGGCGCGGCGGCGGAAGTGGAGGCAACAACCCAACAACGGGCCGGGGCGGAGGTGGCGCATCGAGCTACCTGCACAACCTAAGCGGTGCCTTTGCCGGACACCCTCGTGGCGGCGCAAGCGGAGGGAGCGAAGACTCGGTGGGCGGGCTGGCATCGCCCAAGTCGCCCCAGATGGGAGACTACGACCGCGACCCGTCGCCAGTGGGTGACAACGAGCTGGCAAAGATCCTCGCACGGGGCCGCGGCAACGGCAGCCAGTCGTTCTCGGCTGGTCGCAGCGCGGTCGACAACGGCAAGAATCGCGCACTCGCTGACCGATACAACACTAGCACCGGCGGTGGACGTGGTGCTGCCAGCGGCGCCGGTGCCGGTGCGGGCGATGTATCGACGGACGGATATTCGGGATGGGATCAAGCCGGCCGGACCCCGATCCGCATCAATGATCACTCCCAGTTCGCCGCGAGCGCCCAAGGTACGGGTGCGGATGCGGCCGCGGGTACGGGAACGGCCAAAGTCAAGGACAGCATCGCAATGATGGATTCGGCCGGGGGCAGGGGCGTCACGTCTTCGGCGCCCGCTGCTTCGACCGCTTCGACCGCAGCGGCTGCGGGCGCAGGTGCAGGGCTTGGACTCGCTGCGGCCGCTGGGGCTGGTGCGACATCGTCTTCGAGCAGCGCAGGAGGAGACGATGGGTCGGATTCCGACGACCTCGAGTATGTCAGCAACCCGTTCGAGGACGAGGACTGAGGCACTGCTGTTGTTGTGTATCTATCGACCGACAGTCATGGACAGGCGAGATGAGAAGCCAAGCCGTAGTGTGGTATCATCGTGGTCGTTGCTTTGTTTATGCGACTGTGGCACTCAGATGTCTGACGGCGGCTCGGGAAGCCAGAGGACGAGTTGGGACGATCCGGTGGTCAATTCTTGGCGGCGGGCGGGATTGCGAGGGCGTGGTTGGAAGAACGAGGAGCGAGGATGGTCAGATGGTGGTCGGAGAAGGGCAAGGGTCAGGGCGCGCGGCCGATCCGACTCACGAGCCAGCCTCGGGCTGAAGGCGAGACAGCGGACGGGGCCTTCGTGGCCCGGGATGACGGTGGTGGGGTTGAGGTTGGGTATGTCGCCACCCGCCGGGTATCCCTGCTGCCCCTGTTGCTGTTGTTGTTGCGGCTCGTCGGGGATCTTCCAGACGACAATCTGGCCATTGGCCGAGCCGGCGAGGACCAGCTTGCCGTCCGACGTCCAGCAAACTTCGGCACCACTGATGCCGGCCTCTGGAACCATGCCGATGGGGGCGCCCGATGCGTTTTCCAGGCCAGAGTGTCCGACGAGGCGATGCAGGATGGCGCCGGAGAACGAGTCGACGACGTAGTGGACGTCGCCCGAGGTGCCGACGAGGAGGTGACCGCCCTCGTTGTTGAACTCGAGCGAGGTGATGATGGGGTACCGCGGCGGCATCGATATCTGCGACAGAGCGCGGGTGTCGTCGAGGTGGATGGTGAGGAACGGGGCCTGCGCGGAGGGGCAAAGTCAGGAGGGGAGGCATGGGGAAGGGGTCAACACCGAGCATGTACTCTCAACAAAGCGCATCGACGAGGTGGGCCGGCTGCCACCCACCTGGTCAAACTTGCGCGTGTCGTAGAGGAGGATGGCGCTGCGCTGGTTGAGTGCGATGGCAAAGACCTTTCCGGTGAGGTCGTAAGCGACGACGGGGTGGCCTTTGAGGTTGAGGTGGCCCTGGCTGGTGGGCGAGCGGAGGTCCCAGAGGCGTACCGAGTCGTCGACGGCGGCCGAGAGGAAGGTGTCGTCGACGGGGCTCATTTCGAGGCCGACGACCTTGCCGGTGTGGCCGCGAAAGTACTGGAGGTAGGAGTTGTGGTGTACCGAGTGGTAGCGGATGGTTTCGTCCTGCTTTGTGCTGGCGTAGATGACCGAGGACGAGTGGTGGGTGAACCTGGCGAGGTGGCAGCCGTACTTGTTGCTGACGGTCTCGTGGACGTGCTTGCCCGTGATGCAGTCGTAGATGTGGAGCGTCTCATCGCTCGACGACGAGAGGACGAGCTGACCGCGGTCGTCGTAGCATAGCGATGTGATCTGCGAGTCTGGCTTGCGGGAGTAGGAGTAGACTTTGGCGGGTCTGAACGTGGCGAGGTAGGGCGCGGTGAGGGTGACGGGTTCCGAGAGCGCGGGTGCTGCCTTGGACGACGACGACGGCGACGACGACGATGATGGGCCTTTGGTGGATGGCAAAGAGGACGAGGAGGATGCCGCGGCGTTGGAATGTGTCGCCGCGGAGGAGGTGGCTGCCATTGCGTTGTGTGACGGTGGCGACGGTGGCGACGGAGGCGATGGTGGCGATGGTATTGACGATGATGGTGGTGTTGGGGACAGGTCAAGGTGGAGCGGGCGTTGGGGCCCACCCGGGCTTTTGGTCGGCGCAATTTTCAAAGTGGGACGGGTGGCAAGGTGGCCGTCGGACCCTTTTTACATATTTTCGCGCATTTGGAAGAGGGTCGCCCCACCGGCCAATTTGGACGCCGCTCGTTTTGGGGGGTTGGGTCCTCGACGCCCGGTTGCTCGTCGTCGTCCATCAACTTCAACTTCAACTTCAACTTCACCATCACCATCCGCCACCGGCCACCGCCCGCGCTGCTGCTCAGCTCGCAAGACTGACCTGCACATCTCGTCATGTCGGCTCGCTCACCTCCACCACCATCGTCAGCGGTCACGTCGGCCGCATCGTCGCAGCTCGTCCCCTCCCACACCTCGCCAGCGTCCACCTCGGTCTCGGCATCGTCTCCACCACCGCCGCCCCGCTCCTCGGCAGCTGCCGATCCACAACACCCATCGACAGCCATCTCTTCCACAGCCGCCACTCCAGCTCACGACACCAAAAAGGTGTCCTGCCTCGAATGCCGCGCCAGCAAGGTAAAGTGCAGCGGCGGTTCCACCTGCTCCCGCTGCAAGCGTCTCAAGCGCTCCTGCGAGTACCGCTCCCACAAACGAGGCAGAAAGTCCGACAACAGCAAGATACAGAGGCTCGAGAGCACCGTATCATCCCTCACGCACGCGCTCAACCAGATCAACGCCCAGTACGCAGGCGGCCGGCCACCATCCCAAGTCCACCCGCCAGCCCACTACTGGCATCAGCCTGCCCCTTCTGCAGCCAACGCCTTGGCAAGCAACAGTCGCAGCCCACATCCTCACAACCAGCCAGGAACCTATCCCCATCAGCAGCAAGCGCCTCGCTCACCACAACAGCACCATCACGATCACCATCGTCATCGCCACCACCACGCCCAGCAAAACTCCTCGGCCGACCATGCCTCCCGCAGCGCAAGCTGCTCGTCGTCCATCGCAACCCCTACCGCCGAAGACCCAGACCAGCCAGACAACCTCGGCCTGCCCACCCTCAGCAATCCGCTCAAACTCCTAGCACAGGCCAGCGACTCGGCACGCGACCGCGACCTCCTCCTCCTCCAGACTCAGTCCTCGTCCCTCGGCAACCGGCCCTCGCCCTCGACCGCCTCCCGCAAGCGCAAAGCGTCCATCAACGCGGCTCGCCCATTCCATGGCGGCCATGGCAGCGGCGGCGACGACGACAACGACGACAACGACGACGACCACGACGAGCACTGCCATCATCTTCGCTCCCGGTCTCAGGAGCAGCACCACACTCGCCCGCCTCGCAACCATGCTTCCCCGCGCTCAATGACCCTCTCGACGCACCCTTCCTCGTCAACCCGCCCCTTTGGGCCCGCGCGCGGCAAAAACTACTTTGCCAACGGCCTCTATGTGCCAAAGCTCGATCTCGACCCGCTCTTCGACCCCATCGCCCAGCGCGTCCTCGACCACGCCCAGGCGGCGCGCCTCTTTGACTTTTTCATGCTCGAAATCAACCCGCAGCTCACCCTCCTGGATCCGCACCTGCACACTTTTGCCCACGTCCGCAACACGTCGCTGCTCCTGCTCAGCGCGACGTGCTGGATTGCTGCAAAGTTTCTGCCAGACTGTGCCAAGGCCGCCACAGAGCTCGAGGCTCGGATGCGCGACGTCCTCCTCCCCTCGATCCTCCTCGACGGCTACCGCTCCGCCGAGATCGCCCAGGCCTTCATCATCCTCGCCACCTATCACCCGCCCACCGATACCCTGGCCGAGGACCGCTCCTGGACGTACATCGGCTTCGGCATCCGCGTCGCCTCGGAACTTGACATGAACAGCAATCTCCTGCACCTCCCACCGGCGCGCGCCGCCGACGAGAACCTGGCGCGCAGGCTGCGCAACCGCGAGCGCACCTGGCTCAACCTCTGGCTGTCAGAGACGAGCCTGAGCCAGCATATGGGTCGACGTCCCACACTGGCCATTGACCCCGTCGTCAAGGGCTGCCGCCACTGGCACTTGGATCAGTTCGCGCTGCCCGAGGACAAGGCCATTGTCGCCGTCGTCCAGCTGCGCCTCCTCCTCTCGCGCAACATCGAGCTCTTCGACACCCTCGACGTCGCCCTGCCGCCGCCGCCATCGCGGGGCACTTGCGACGAGCGCGATCGCCAACGGACGCGGAGCCTGTCGCAGCTCGACTTCTTCCGCAGGACGATCTCGACCGATCTCGACAGCTGGCTAGCCATCTGGACCGACCGTCATGTACCGTCCCCGTCCTCTTCTCATTCAAATCCAGCAGTCGCAACGTCGGCGGACGGCGCGCCGCAGCGGTTGAAGAAGGCCAAGCTCTACTATTGGTACGCCCGGCTGATGCTCAACACGCTGCCGCTCAAATGCTCGCACCTGCCGCGCTCGGCGCTGCTGCCCGTCTACCGCGACGCCTACCTGGCCGCGACGTCCTATCTCGACCTCTTCCTGACGACCATGGTGCCGCACAACCTGCGCTTCGGCCACAACTCGACCATCGTCACGCCGACCTATTGCGCCATCTTTGCGCTCCGTCTCGTCAGCAGCAGCAGCGCTGCCGCCGCCGCCAACAGCGACAATCGAGGTCAGCGACAGGGGTCCGAGGTCGACGTCGAGGTGGATGCAGAGGCGGCGTTCGAGCTCGTGTCGCGCTATGTCGGCGCGCTGGAGGAGGCGGGCAATGTGACGGCGCATCGCCAGGGTGCGGCAGGGAGCTATGCGCCCTATCTGCAGACGGTGCTGGCGAGGGTCAGGGACTCGGTCGGTCGATCGCAACGGCAGCAACAGCAGCAGCAGCATCCTCAATCCCGTTTTCGACCATCCACGGTTCGGCAAGACGGAGTTGACATAGAAATGACGGAGCGAGCGCAGGCCTTCTGGCCGCGCAGCGCGGGCGAGCCGAGCGGCCTAGCGTCAACGAACGACGAGTTGACGAACACGGGTCCTCAGACGCCGTACCCTGCCGTTGTGGCGACGGCATTCCAGGCCGGCCAAGGCGGCACGCCCTACCCGGCGTTTGCGGACAGCGACGATCCGATCCTGCACAACCTGTTTCACTTCCAGGCTGGCCCGTCTGGCGTCCAGACTGTCTCGAGCCAGCCAACGAATGGGTCGGGCGTCACGGTGAGCGAAAGGGGGTGCAGTCCTGACTTGCAAACTTGCGAGCCGGCCATACTGAATCTCTATCCAACTCTCTGTGCCATGCGACAACGACGACGATGGCAGGACATCTCGTATGCCGAACTGTTCAACAGCACAGGAGACTTCGTCGGGCTCGGTGAGTGTGGCTTGTGGTCTGTCTTGTTTCCTCATCGACGCGTACTGACAAGGCCGCTCTGATGTTGCGTTCCGATGGTGCGACAATGACGTGGCGACAGAGGAGGGACTGCTGAACGAGTCCATCTTCGGCGACATGTCGTTGCCCTTTGATGGGAGCGCAGGGGGTATATGGAGCAGGACGGCGTAGAGGCCGCGGCGCACGGAGAGGATCACCGCGCGCGCTGGCCCCGTGAGGCTGGCGGAGGGGCGGAGTAAGCGCTGGTACTGTCTACCAGAGCATACGAAACGCTCCCATGATGAGGCTATCGGGGACAGGACCCGTCAAGGTCGTGGGAACTTCAGCGACTGCATCGCCTCTTGTCGCAACGGCAGCCAGGATGGCCGATGGGGGGCCCCGCACTCACTTTGCAAACAGTCCGCAGACGACGGCGATCTGCATGCCCTTGCTGAGGGTGACATTCCGGGCATGCACCATGTTCATGTCCTCCTCATCATGCTCCTCGTCTTCCTCGTTCAACTCCCCCCCAGCTCGGGATGGGTTGACGATCCTACCCGCCGCCGCCGTCTCGGAGGGAAAGGCAGAGGGCCACGCGCCCTCTCGAAAGAAAAAGAGGGGGAGGAGGGGAAGAAAGAAGCCCACCATGAGACCTTCCAGGACTGTTTGGTAGGCTCCGCTCCTTCCGTTCGCCGATCCGGTGACAGACGCTGCCGGATCCTGGGAAAACGAGTCGAACCACGCATCTTCGAGGGCGCGTGCGTGTTCCTCTTCCTCCCTCTGCCGCAGCACATCGCCCGAGACGGGCAGGGCGGAGGAGCGGAACTGAGCGCGGATCGAAGCCACCTCTTCGGGCGTCAGACCCGTCGAGAGGAGTCGGTCGAATCCTTGTGCGGGCGGCGCTGATCGGTCCTGGTCCGCTGATGAGGGCGAAGGCCCGGTATCGTCGATGTCGAGGTGGGGAGGTGATGAGGGTGCGACGTCGATCAACCCGCGTTCGCGCGCCTCTTCCTCACTGTCCATGACATCCCCGACCGAGCACTGGACATAGATGCGTTCGTGTAGCTTTCGAGCGACGCAGACTTGCACCCCGCCCAGATCGCCACTGCCATCCTCGCCGCCGCTGACGTCGCCGTCGTCGTCGTCGTCGTCGTCGCTGCTTGCTTTTGCCTTTCCCTTTCCCTTGCCGCCGCCGCTACTATTGGGGAGCGACTGCCAGTAGTCTGGCAGCAGCTCTCGTAGGGGTACGACTTCTGTGGTCGTTCGGGCAGCATGCCCGTCCTCGTCATCCTCGGCCCGATCCTCCCCGTCGTTGTCGTCGTCGCCGAGGGCGAGTGAGGAGCCGAGAGAGCGTACGGACGCCTTGCGGTGGGAGTCGAGTTGGTCAAAGTAGGAGACGAGGCGGATGCCGTCGCGGAGGATGCGGCCGGCATGGATGAGTCGAATACGACGGCGGTGTATGGCGGGGCGGTCGGAGCGCACCTGCATGTCGAGCGAGGTTGCGGAATGAATCGCGAAATGAGCATCTTAGCGTTGAGGAGCTGACGGGAACATGGGGGGAAGGGGAGGGGACTCTACTCACGATGCGTTTGACATCCCTTACCGTCTCTTGCGCTCTTGCTTCGATCAGGGCGCGCGCTCTCTGTTCCCTCGAACGCTTTGCATCGGATCCGACGCTGTGCTTGCGCTGCGGATGTGCGTTCTGCTCAACGACGACGTCAAAGAGGACGGGATCGACTGGTACGGCGTCGTCGGGGTCGTGGATGTCGGTCGAGGTGCGGACGTGGGTGAAGCTGTTGAGGTCGAGGCTGAGGTCTGCGACGCCCGGCTCTGTGAATCGTATCGTGAGTGGGCGTAGGACGTGTGTGAGATAGAGGGGCATCGTGGGCCGCGATAATGGTGGCGGCAGTGTTGGTGGTGGTGGTGGCAGTGGTGGCAGTGGTGGTGGTGGGTGGTGGTGGTGGGTGGTGGTGGTGGTGAGAAGAAGCAAAGGGTCGAGGCCAACAATGTGGAGGAGCGAGGCGCTGTCGCACGGACCAGTTCTTCCGCGTTGGCCGCCGCTGTCGTCGTCGTTGCTCTGAAGTGATGCTCCCACCCTCGCTCTTCGACCCCATCCTCTTCTCCCCCAACGCCACCCCAAGTGCAGTTTACCACCCATCATGATCCCGAAAACATCCAGCACGACATCCAAGACTATCCTACTCAACTCGTGCGGTGCAATGGGCGCACCCCTCGGCGCGCTCCTCGTCCACGCAGGCCACCGCGTACTCACACCCGCCGCCGGCAGATCCCGCGCTACCCTGGACCGCGCTTCCCAGTACGGCATCATCGCCGTCCCAAAGACGCTGCCCGAACTCCTCGTATCGCAACAGGCCGACGAGATCGACATCTTCTTGTCCGTACTCGCGCCCTCTGATGCGTTGCCGCTCGCAAAACAGGTGGCATCGGCCATGGCCGCAAGAACCACCGCGGGCTCCCTCTCCAAACGGCGGACCTACATCGACCTCAACGCCGTATCGCCCTCGACAGCCTCAGAAATAGATGCGGCGCTCACGGGCAACAACGAACGGGGTGCCGCCGACTTCACCTACCTCGACGGGAGCATCATTGGCGCCACTCCGCGCTGGACGACGCACACCCGCGAAACCCTCTCCTTTTGTCCGACCATCTACCTCTCCCACTCGGCGTCGTCCTCTGCTCACCACCCCGAGGCGATAGACGAACTGACGCAGCTCCTCGCCTCTGCACAATGGAAGGTCCGATCGGTGCATGACGCCAGGGTGGGCAGTGCAAAGGCGCTCAAGCTGTGCTACACGGCCATCGCAAAGGGACTCATGGGCCTCGCATCGACCGCCTTCCTCACCGCCTCGTCCTTCTCGCCCTCGACGGCTCGCGCGCTCGCCACAGAGCTCATGGAATCGCAGCGCGGCAGCATGGACTTTCTCAATGCCAACTGGAGACACGTCGTGCCAAAGAGCGCTAGGTTCGTGGGCGAGATGCAAGAGGTGCGCACCCTCATGTCCCAACAAAGCGCCGCCACCGACGGCAGCGGCGCCGGATTTGCCGAGATGGCCGATCTCTTCTCGGCCTTTGCTGAGGTCTACCGATCCATCGATGAGGCAGAGAAGCGGGCCAAGGCATCACGGCAGGCGGGACAGGAGGCGACGCTCGTCAGCGAACGGATGCTCGAATTTGAGCGGCTGGCCAGGCATGGGTAGCGACATTAGCATATCGAGCGGAACGACGAGGTCTCGTTATTATCGAAGCGGATACAGATAGATGCGGGCGACACTGGATGGCTTGGGTGGTCGTCTACCGGCGTCAAGGAGGTAGAAATAAGAGGAGATAGAAGAGAAGTCGTGGTGCGTGCTCTCAGGCAAAGCTCTGGCAGCTTCGTCCGAGGCCAGGGTCAAGGATCCATTGCCTGGGTCAATAATACACAGGCAGCGAGTCCAAGTCAGTCACGCTAGAACAGCAAAGACTCCAAAACACCACTGCGGTGCTCACGTAGCGGCGGTATAGCCGTAGGCCACATCGTAGTTGAAGCGGTCGCGGGTCGTGGGCACTTCCACTGGTCGGCGAGGAGCGTTGCAACGAGGCAGCGCGGAGCGCCAGATCGGGAAACAGCAGACAGGGTCAGTCGTGCGAACCTCCCCCGTGTGGCCGGGTCAGAAGACGTAGCGTCCGCCCCTACTCACACTGCAAGGCACCCTCTACGAAAGAAGGGTTGGCGTCGGGGAAGGTGTAGAGGTAGGTGATCTTGTAGCAGCTGTCGGTGATCTCGGTCAGGTCCGAGACAAAGTAAGGCTGCAGCGAGAAGAAGAGGCAGGGACAGGAGTGGATGAGCCTCTGTGGCCGCGCAGTCCAAGGGCAAGCGCACGTTGCAGGGCGCTTAATCAGGACCCACCTGTCCGATGATGCCTCTCAGCACGTCCTCGCGAATCGGCCCGCGCGTCGTCTTGCGGAAGCTGGCGGTGATGGCGGCTCGCTGGATGCCGATCCCGGCGATCGACAGTCCCTGGAACACCGAGGTGGTCAGTCGACCGCCCTGCTCCTTGTACGCAGCGCGGGGAGGATCGAACGACGCGAGTCGGTTGTCGATCAAGCCCGTCAGCCTCGAGACGATGACGGGCACCAGCTCGTCCTGCAGCGTCACGACGCTGCGCGCAAACGGCCGGCCCGTTCCGATCCGATCGACAAAGGGGATGTAGAACGACGCCGCCCGCAGCCGGTCGATGCGGATCGGGAGCAGACCCACCACGTCCTGCCGCAGATCGCTGAAGTAGCCCACGTGCACCATAAGCGGGTGCATGCCGGCGGGGACGACGGACGAAGGGAGACCATGAGGGAGAAGGGGGAAGGGTCCCGCCAGCTTGGCTGCGTCCGCCGTCGGAATAGGCACGATAAAGGCCGTCAGGTTGAACGCACCCGTCTGGACGGCTTCGTTGCCTGTGTGTAGCCGGAAAACAGGGAAGGCATGTCTTGTCGCGTCAGCGGTCACAAACATGGCGAGGGTACGGATCCGTAGCGACGCAGTCGGACGCACCGGGGTAGACGAGATTGGGACCCTGTCGCCTGTCCAGGGCGGCTTCGACCGGAAGGCGGGGCAGACTGGCGGCGCTGCAAACAGTCGCAAGGACTGCCACTGCCACTGTGGCGATGGACACGATGGCGCGAGGGGAAGAGAAGTGCATCATAGAGGGTCGTGAGAGGTGTGAGAACAGTGGAGGGAGATCCTGGCGCAGGAGAAGGTTGGCTTGGGAAAGTGTGGGCTCGGCATCGCTGTGACTCATGACTGGGCCTATTTGTACCTTTTGCTCGTTGCTCGTCATCGAGCGGGACTGTGTGATGGCCTCCTCATCACTAGTCAGGTACAGAGCAAGCGCCGGTGCTGAAGCGGAGCTGGAGCCGTGACTAGGGCCTGAGATTGGCTGCTTCGAGAAATGTGGCCACCGTTGCGACCAGCGACAGACGGGGCGAGGTCCCACGGAGCAGCTGGCCGGGGCGCCTGCTTGCTAGCGACGCCACAGGACGAACGAAGGCGCGTTTCTTGCCCTTGACGACCTGAATTTGCTACGGCAGCGAGCCGCTAGTCGACCAAAGTCTGGTCCCGTGCGGTCTGGCGGCCTGGCTCGCCGACAGCCGCGGCGCCATGGCACAAAAAGCACGCACGAGATCTCAGGCTGACGGTAAAAGGTAGCCGCTGTATACCCGCTGCCGTGTGCAAGGCACGCCGGAGCTGAACATGCCGCGACGAGATGGGAAACGAGATCAGGCAAGATGAGATGAGACGAGATGCTTGCAAGCGGGGACGTCAGGGGTGACGGGATCTCTGAAAGCTTAACCTTGTCGGAGCACCTGACGGCTCGGCACGCTTCGACAGGGGAGCGAGGCACAGTTGCCGGGCCGGTGATGTCTCTTGGGTGCGCCGGGAGCAAGGCAAGGGCCTGTCGAACGCGCAACGACGTGGCTGGGCCTAAGGCGCGGGGCCAAGCAAGGTGCGTCGTTGGCTCGCGCGCGACGCAGATGACCTCTCTGACGACGGGCATTTAAAGACGACAGGGACACGGCAGCATCTTCTCGCCTTGCTTGCTTTTGGTGCTGCCCCCCCCTCCCGGAGGTCGTCTGGTCCTGCCATGAAGCGCATAATGCAGGCCAGCATGCACCGTATCATGGCGCTAAATCCAGGGCTCCGTGCTTGCTTCAAGCCACAAAATCCGCGCGGCCTCAGTCCAAGGCCTGCCTGCCTCGTCAATCAGCTGGGCCTTCACCTACGTCGGCTGTTGCAAGATTCGGCCAGCAGCTGGAAGCGGTATCCCCCCTTCTTTGCTTCCTTGCTTCCTCAGCTTGCTTGCTTGCTTGCTCTCGCTCTTGGGCCGCGATGTAGACGAGCAACGTGGGCGGTCCTCGTCTGCCTCGCTCGGCGACAGAGACCCCTCCGCGAGTGCACGCCGCAGCCAGATCCATGACCGCCGTATCCCTGCCCCTCGGCCTCGGTCCACCGCCCCTTGCTTCGGTCTCGACCTTTGGCCAACCCGTTCCGTACGACGGGACCGGAGACACGGCCAAGGCACGCCTGTATCGATGCCAAACGCCCGGCACCGTAAGCAGACCGGGTACTTTATCGGGCGCATAACAGCAGGGCTAGCCAAGCAAAGATAGCATAGATGGCACTCGCATGCCCCTGCCGCGGCACGTCTAAACGTTTGTATGTAGCTGCAAAGCAGCAGGAGTAATGGCTAGTGGTGAGCGGCTGCCTGCCCTATCTGGCAGCGTTCCCCTGCAGCCCTCCTCCGACGCGCCCCTTTCCCATCCCCGACCCCACTTCACCGAGACGGTCCGCATGTGGTCGTGAAAGGCCCCGTCGCCATCAACGCTCACCACCTACCGCCTCTTGCCCTTTTTCTTCTTCCCGCCCGCCCCGCCTGCATCCTCGTCGTCGGCGATCGCGGCACCCGTTGCTAGCGCGTGACCCGTCTCACGGATGTGGTTGAAGAGCTTGGAGCGGGAGTCGAACGACGTCGAGCACACGTTGCACCGCTCGCCCGCGGCGCCTCCCTGCTTGCGGTCCTTCTTGGCACGTCGCCCCTTTTTGCCTGCCGCTGCCCCAGCCTCGGGCGCATCGTCGCCCTCTTCGACCGAGGCCTCAGCTCGCCCGCTCCCATCGCCGCTCTGAGATCGCAGCTCGAGGACCAGCCGCTCGAGCTCAAACAGGTGCGCATCGACGCTCTGCGGCGCCAGGTTGCGGATCGCCTCGGCCAGGTTGAGCAGGTACTCGTCGTTGCGGCCAGAGGGGCCCTGGCAGCTGTGGATGCGCCGCGCCAGCTGCGCCAGCGGCTGTGGGCCCACGAATGCCGGGTTGCTTGGCAGGCCGACGTAGACGAGCGCGTCCTTGACGATCACGACCTCCTCTTCCTCGTCCTCCCCAGTACGGGTTGGCCCGCCGTTTGCCGTCGGATGCGGCGAGTCGGCATTGCCCAGGCCTGCCTCTTCGATGCTGCTTATGGCACCCTGGCCCCGCTTGCGAACGCCCCAGATGTCGACTGATTGCGCCGTGTATCCGTTCTTTTCCCGGTAGTCGAGGTAGGCGCGCACAGTCGCGGCGTGCTCCGGGGCGATGGTATAGCTGACACCCCACACGATGTCGCCCTCGGGCGCATCGTCGGCATCCTTGAACCGGTGCCAGTCCTCGGCCGACACGAGCGTGGCCACGCGCCCGGGCCGCTTCGGCGTGCCGCGATGATCGATCGAGCTCTGCGCGAAGCGCCGAGCGAAGCCCTTGATGAACCCTGGCGTCGCCCCGATGATGTAGGGCGGCGGCTTGAAGATCAGCGAGCCGTAGCCAAAGATGTCAAACGAGCCCGCTGGGCGCTCGCCGGGCGCGAGCGGGCCGGGTACCGTCTTGACAAACGCCTCCGGCGGGATCACCGGGTCCACCAAATCCCCCCAGTCCGGCTTCAGCTCCGGCTCCTCTGCTGCGGCGTCGGCTGACAGGGCCGCACCGTTGCTTAGGTGGTGGACATCGTCACCGCCTCGGCCGTCGTCTTGATCGTCGTCGTCGGCATCGTCGTCGTCGCTCAACCCTGGCGCGCCCTGTTTCTTGCCACGACGCGACCTTTGCTGCGCCTCGTTGAGGTCCTGGACAAAGTATCCGTCCTCGTCCATCCCCATCCCGGCTGCAGCGCCCTGCATCTCCCTGCGCTTCTTGTCCTTTTTCTTCTGCTTCTTGCTCTTGCTGCCGCCGCTTGCGGCAGCCGCAGCCCCCGCCGCAGCGCTGAGCGACGGTATTGAGAAGCCTGCGGAAAACTGCTGACCATCCTCAGCGGTATCGCCGGCCAGGGCCGCCTGCGCCTTGGCCTGCTGCTTCTTGGCGGCTTTCGTCTTCTTTTTGGAGCCAGGTGCCGGCATAGCTCCAAGGCTGGCGTCGTCATCTTCGTCGCCGTAGTCCTGCAGGCCCATCGCCCTGACGTCCTCTGCCAACGGCACGCCGTCGCCGTCGTCGTCGCTATCGATGCCTAGGCCGAGCTCGTCCTCCTCTGCCTGCATCTGCCGTCGCAGAGCGGCCACCGCCTTCCGGTGCTTGGCACTGCGCTCATGGTTGCGGAAGGCGGCCTCCGACCGAAAGAATTTGTCGCAGGCCACGCAGTCCCAGGCGTCCGTCTGCATGCCGTCCGCGCCGCCGCCATCGCTGTCTATCCCCTCGCCAGCCTCTCCTCCGTCCTGTGATCCGTACTCGCCTTCGGCGTCGTCCTCTTCGCCGCCTTCCGCTTCGTCCTCGTCTTCGTCGTCGCCGCCGGAGAACTCGGAATCGCTGTAGACGGCGGTATTGGCCATCTGCCAGCTCTGCGCCTGGAACGACTTGGCGCGGTCCTCACGCTCCTGCCGGATGCGGTCCGCCTCGGCCTGCCTGCGCGCGATGCCGGCGGCCGAGTTGGGCCCGTTTTCGTTCTGGTACTGCTGCCACGCCTTGTAGCGCGGGTCGCGCTTGCGCACGAAGGCGGCCAGCGAGCGAATCGTGTCGTTGTACTCGCGGCGTGCGGCGTCGCGGCCCTTTTTGTTCTCCTTTTCCATCCAGCGCTTGACCCTGCGCTCGGGAGCGTCGCGGAGGTCGTGCTGGTCCATCCAGCCGAAGCTCTTACGCGATTGAAAGTTGAGATAGACGGCGTAGAAGTCCTTGACGGGGATCTGATGGACGGCGACGTCGTCATGAGAGTAGGGCGTGTGCGAGTAGCCAAACGTGGGGAAGGCGTCGTCGGCGGGAAAGGGGAAGAGCAGCTCCTCGCCCGGGTACGGTGCGGCCACCTTTTCCTCTTGGGCAAGGCGCTCAAAGAGGCGGCGATAGGTACCAAAGAAGCCGTTGTCATCGTCCGAGAGGTCCTTTGCGAGCCCCGGGTCAAAGAAGCGGAGCAAGGTCTTGGCCGTGATGCCGCGGGCCGACGAGGTGGCGGGCGGGGGTGCCGATGCGCCGGAGCGGAAGGCGTCGAAAGCCTCCTCGTCTTCGAAGTCGGGACCATCGCCATTGATGAGGCGGTCGCGGTTCTGGTCGTACCATGCGCGCTCCTGGTCGTCGGAGAGGATCTCGTAGGCCTCCTGCAGCTTGTGGAAGATCTTGTTGGCGCGCTCTACGTTGTCGGGGTTCTTGTCCGGGTGGTGTTTGAGCGCGAGCTTGCGGTACGACTTGCGGATCTCGTCGACGGTCGCAGTCTGCTCTACCTGGAGCAGTTCATAATAGTCGAAGAAGGCATCGTCTCCGGCATCGCCTGCTGCTGCCCGAGACCCTCCAGCTGCGCCGGCCCCGCCGGCCGACGACGACTGGTTGGCGCCCATTCGGTCGTTGAAAGGATGTGCCTGCCGTTAGCCGTCGCGGGAGATGTAGCGGTGGCCAGCGGACGCCTGGGCGAGCGTAAGGCTTGGGCAAAGAGGTTGGACACGAGGCAGGCGGAGTCGGTGGTGGTCGTCGATGTGGTGGTCGTGGTCGAGGTCGAGGTCGAAGTCGAGTGCCGTGGTGGCGAAGGCTTCCTGGCTGGCCAGGCTGCTCCACTTGACTGTGCTGAGCCCAGGGCCCTGCGAGCCCGTTGCCGCCAGCAGGCACTCGAAAAGCCAGAAGAAACTTGAATCCAAGGCGAGAAATCGCAGCCTCGGCACTCGGATCTCGACATGTGGGCCAGAGAGGGATGGCGGTCTGGCCTGCCGCCCTCCCGCGCAGCACATCTCCCGGCCAGGCAGCAGCCAGGCAAACCTCTGACGCTCCCTCTTGCACCATCGCCACCACCACCATCACAAGCACCACCACCACCACCGACAGCAGCTGCCACAATTTCTCAGGCTAGGGCCGTACCTGCATCGAAACTGCTGTCACGCTCCGGATTGCGCGCCTCGCTCCAACCTTGCGCCATCACGGACTCCAGCGCACCGTCCATCTTCCCAGCCCGCCGCTGTACCCGCATCCAGTCCCGCTTCGCCTCTCGTCGCCTGGCAGCTCGCACCTTCGTCGACCCACAGCACTGGCAACATGGGACGCAAGGCCGAGGTGCAGCGCATGCTGCTCGAGCGGCTCATGGGGCCCGAGGCGTTTGGCAGCGCTACGGCCACGCTCCACTTCACCGATCCAAAGGTCTGCCGCAACTTTCTCTGCGGCACCTGCCCGCACGACCTCTTTAGCAACACAAAAGTCGACCTCGGGGTGTGCCCCAAGTCACACACGCCAAAGTACAAGGACGAGTACCAGGCGGCGCTGCTCAAGGGCGAGCGCTTCCCGCAGTTTGAAAAGGAGCACGAACAGAACATCTTTTCCTTCATCTCGGACATCGACCGCAAGATCAACGCCAACAAGCGCAGGCTCGAGCAGACGCCCGAGGAGATCGCACGCTTCGCCAACATGAACCGCGAGATCAGCGAGATCGAGGCCGCACTCGCCGCCGCCATGGCAGAGGTCGAGAGCCTCGGAGAGCAGGGCATGATTGACGAATCGCTCGCCGAGCTGCAGAAGGCAGAGGCGCTCAAGGAGGAAAAGGCGGCAAAGGAACGGGAGCTCCACCAGCTCCAGGAGAACAGCGGCGCCAGTGGACATCAGAAGTTGCGCGTCTGCGACATCTGCGGTGCCTACCTCAGTATCCTCGACTCGGACAGGCGCCTGGCCGACCACTTCGGAGGAAAGGTGAGCACGCCGTCTCCGTACGACCGCCGTCTCTGCCCCTGCTTCGTCCCATTCACACGCCTCTCTCCCTGTTCATCCCTCTCACCTCTTCTCGTCTCGTCCGTCTTTTCGCCTCGCAGATGCACCTGGGCTACCTCAGATTGCGAGAAATGATCCGCGAGTTTGAAGACAGGAGGCGCGATCCCAACGCACCACCGATGGGCGCACCCGCCAAGATGCTCAACGGCACCAAGGCCTCGGCGTCCTCGACGACAGCGCCGATGGACCTCAGCAACGGTGGGCCGCTGGAGGAGGGCGAGACGAGGCCAGATCGCCAGCACGACATCGACCAGGAGCGGTACAAGCGCGACGAGCAGAGGCGCGAGAGCCGCCTGTCGAGGTGAGTCCTCGCCCTTCGTTGGCAGGTCGAAGGCTCCGACACGCGCTAACTTCTCCCATCTGCTCCCTCTGTCCTGACCTCCCCTTCTGTCTTGACTGCAGGGACGACCATCTCGATGGCAGGCGAGACGACGAAGGGCGGAAACGGGGCATCGCCTCCGTGTCTTAGCGAGCTTGCGCAAAGATTCCATCACCCCGCAATCCGAACCCCATCGTCCTTGCCTCTGTAACATTAGTATTCTCGATGTCTTTTGACTCCCAACAGGCGGTCTCTTCCCTGTGCGCTTCGTGCACCAGTGCTTCTGCTGTAGCCGCTCATGTGCAGCCAGGTCAACTGCAGCAGCAGCAGCAGCAACTGCGCACACCGTTGCTGCTAGATGCAGCCGCTTGCAGCAGGCCTCCGTGCAAGGGCAGCTTGGGCCTGATCCTTGATGCACACAGTGGGACAAGGCATAAACTGGTTTGAGGATGGTGCAAGCCCCAGAGGCCAGGGTTGGGCAGCACACAAATTTGGTCCGCAAGACTCTGCAAGCATGTGTGTGAGCTTTTGATCTTGCTCTTACCCTCTTGCGCATCAGCAGCAGTGCCAGCATCCGCATCATCAGCAGCATCAGCAGCATCTGCAGCATCAGCAGCATCAGCAGCATCAGCAGTGCCCCTACTCCAAGCCTTGTCCCATCTTTATCTCCCTTTCAGCCTTATTTGGCTGGTCTGAAGCAGTTTGGACCCGAACATGCATGTGCTCCTTGTCAACCTGTGCCTTTGGGCTGCATGGGTGTGGATGAAGCAGAGCTGCTGGCCTCTTGTTCACAAAGACTGCATGGTCCTTGAGCTCCTGTTTGCACTTGAAGGTGATACCAAGAATTGCAGGGTTGCACTGTTTGGCCCTTGCAGCCTCAGATGCCAAGGGTGGGGCCTTTGGCAGTGCAGCTTGAAGCATCATGCAACCAGCTTGAGGGTCAACAATGGTGGTGCACAGGTCAGGGCCAAAGGCGCCCTGCTGTCGCGCGCAGCTCGGTTCCGAGTCTTGGCGCGCGCGGCATCTTTTTCCCTCTCCGCGGCGCGCCTCCCTCCTTGATTGGAAACCATCACTTCACTCGCTCACTTCCTGCCCGCTACGCTGGCACATGGTGACAAGAGTGTCGAGCTCCTCTCTCTTCTTCTCACATTGTCTTCACCACCGAGCTCTGTACCGCACCGACGCCCACCGCATCCCCTTCCCACCTCGCCATCATGCCACCCAAGACCAAAGCCGACGACGACGCCTCGCCATCCGCGGGCGGCGCCGTTTCGCCCCTGCCCGAGCCCTCCTCCTCCTCGTCGAACATCACCACCACACCGCTGCCAGGCATACAGACACGCTCTGCGACCTCTGACGCGGGTAAGACGGTCACGATGTCCGACCTCATGGAAGCCCTCGGCAAGGCCCTGGCCAAACAGAAGACGGACATCACCAAGTCGGTGAATGCAGCCATCCGCCCGCTCTCCGAACGCCTGACCGCCCTCGAGACGGACTCCGACCCCGCGCACTCGCCCACTGTACCGAGCGCCGTCGAACGCCGTCAAGCTGCCCAGCGCGAACTCGAAGCTGAACGTCGCCGCTTCAACGAGTCCCGCCTCGAGATCCTGGCCCGCCACAACCTCCAGGCGACGGACGAGGAAACGGACGACCTCAATCCCCATGACCCCGCCACCATTCCCTATCGTGACAGGCCTCTTCCGCCGCACCTCAAGCCGGTCGGCCGCGACACCTCCAATCATGGCCGAGAAACAACCCCGGCACCAAGGTACAGCACCCGCTCGCCGGGCCCAGGCCTGGCCCGTCCGGAAAGGACTGCATCCACGCCAGCGTTCCGCTACGACTCCGCGGCCGCGGCCGGCTACCCCAGCCGCTCAGCGCATTTCGTCGACGAGGACGACGACGACGAGATCGCTGCACAGCCGAGCATACAGCCGACCCGCGCCGCCTCAGCCTCGACCATCGCGCCCTCATCAGGCCGCAGGTTCAACGTCAAGGCCGAGCAGATCGGAACCTTCGACGGAGCGCCCGAGAACCTCGATTACTTTGTCAACCGCGTCGAGAGCCTCCTCGCGCACCACGACTACGACCCAGACTACGTCTTGGCCATCATCGACGTGCTGCCGCTCTGCTTCAAAGACTCCGCGGCCGAATGGTTCCAGTACATGCCGATATCGCAGCGTTCCGGCATGCGGCTGGGCTGGTACCAGTGGAAGGACGCGCTTAGCAAGGCGTTCCGCCAGGACTACGACGCCGCCCGTCTACGTGCCAGCGAGCGCGCTTGGGACTGGCAGTCGGAGCCGGCCCCGCGCTACTACTTCAACAAGCTCGCGCTGCTAAAGGCCGCCCACCCCGAGTGGCGAGATGCCGACCTCGTCTTCGAGCTCATGAACGGCCTGCCACCGACGCTGAAGTGCCTGATGCGCACCAAGATCGACTCCAACTCCACGCCGGAGGAATTCCTCATCCAGCTCCGCGCCCAAGAGAGCCCCTGGAAGGAAGCCGAGGCAGACCGGATGGCGTTGAAGAAGCGTCAGCAGTCGACGCCACAGCAACTGGGGTCCGCCCCCTCTCAGCCCACGACGCCGAGACGATCACCGCCCTCGTCGCAGTCGTCCAACGCCTCCCCGTCGTCGGTCGCACGCCAGTCCATCATGCTCGACTACGACCCAAAGAACGTCTTTTACAAGAGCGTCGGAGGCAAGCAGACACGTCACTACCGCCTCCCACAGTCTGGCCGCGAGGTGCAACTCAAGTGGCCGTGCAAGAGGTGCGGAGAAGATCACTTCGACTTCGAGCACGTCCAGCTCACGAGGCCCACCACGCCGGGAGAGCGAGCGGCCGCAGAGATCCGCGCGATGAAGGCATACGGATTCAACCTCCTCAGCGTAGACGACGACGAGGAAACGGAGCCCAGCACGAGTGACCACGACCTCACCGCGTCGGACGAGGGGGGCGACGAGACCGCGAAGTCTCTAAACTAGGCAGCGCCAAGCAGACGCCAGACGTCGACCGCAGGCCGGTCGACACGTCCGATGTCAACGACGCCAGGCAGACGATGACCGTTGATCGCTGGTCGACCAACTCCTCGCCCGCCGACGACGTCGACGGACACAACGACCCGATAGACGAGCCCGAAAGATCCACCAAGAACAAGTTCCGCACAGACGACAAGAACCAGAAGACACCACCACAGACTCGTCCCGCCCGCAGACGCGCCCTAAGCGCCCCGTACGTCCACAAAGAAAGACCAGCCTGGCTCGCCGCAGGCCACCGGAAGAGCGATCAACCCCAAGAACTCGTTAATAGGAACGGCTCGTACAAGCCGGAGCTCATCAGACGCCTTTCAAACTCTTCCCGCGCAAGACCCAGACCCTCAGCATTCCACATGGATCCGCAAGTTTCCAACCTCACAGTCGCCAGCCGCCACAAAGGTCTCGACGCTACCGCACCTGTCATCGAGGTCCCTCCCCCCGTCGACACGGGCCGAGGCCGCGCCCACGAGCGACATCTACCCCTCACCGCATACGTCGCCCTGGACAACGGCGACGCACAACTTTCACTCCTCGATACCGGAGCGAACCTCTCCGTCATCGACGAGGCACTTGCACACAAGCTCGGCCTGGCGCCCTTCAACGGCCCGACGCTCCACATCGACGGCGTCGGCTCCGGACACACGTCAGGCTGGGTGACCTCTCGGTTGATCATTCCCGCTACAAGGCACGGACGACCGGTGCAACTGGCGACCGAGGCCGACTTCCACGTCCTCCCCGACTTCGGCCCGGGCCTTTGTCTCGGTCTAGACGTAGTCACCGCCCTGAATGCAGTGCTCGACGTCCCTTCCGCCTCCGCAGAGGCGTTCGGCGCAACGTTCCCTATCTTCGACACAAAAGGGAGGCCGCTGACCTCGAAACGCGCCGGACGTGCTCTGACGGCGAAGAGCAACACGACCATTCCACCGCGATGTCACGCGTGGGTTCCTTTCGACGCCCATCTCCGGCCGGCGACCGACTACGTCATCCAGAGCAGTGTGTGGACCGACGCCGAGGAGACCACCAACCTCGCCCTCCCGTCGGCCGTGATCGACGACGTAACCGTCGCTATCATGGTAACCAACTTCGGCGACGACCCCGTCACGATCAGGAGCAACACACGCCTCGGCACCGCCTTGCCCCTCGTCGCCGGCGGCGCAGGAGTCGGCGCAGGATCGTTCACCCTCCAGAGTCGCCAGACGCCCGACGGCTCCCCAAGCAGCTCGGCCACGTGCCACACCAGCACTGGGGGTCCCGCACCTAGCGGCGGTGTAGGCGAGACGCCCGATGAACAAGAAGGGAGATCGCCTCCAACCGACTCCGCAACAGATGACGCACCAGAGGAGGAAGTCATGGCGGACCCCAGCATCGCGCCAACGCCGATCGACTTTGCGGAGGATCCCCTCGCCAGACTCGCACCCGATCCGACGGCGACGCAGAAGATCGATGGCGCGTTCAACGTTGGTCTCAACCAGGATGGCAAACCGCATCCAGAGATCGTCAGCCTGCTCAGACGCCACCGCCAAGCCTTCTCGCTCGACGGCAGACCAGGTCGCGTCACGCTGCCGGGCACCGCGATGCCGATACCACTGCTCGAAGGCAAGGAGATAACGCCAGAAGCCCCAAGGCGCTCCAGCCCCGAGAAGCGCAAGATAGAGAGCGCGCAGATCGAGCAGCTACGCGACTGGGATGTGATCGAACCGTCCACCTCACCCGCATCCTTCCCAGTCCTACTCGTAAAGCAAGGCGCCAAATGGAGATTCTGCGTCGACTACCGGGGACTCAACAAGGTGTCCAAAGACGACCGGTACCCCCTGCCGCGCATCGACGACATCTTCGAAGCGCTCGCCGGCAACAGATGGTTCTCCGGCCTGGACGCCATCCGCGGATACCATCAGCTCGACATCGAGGAGGCCGACAGGTGGAAAACGGCCTTCATCTGCTCCGCTGGCCTTTTCCAGTACAAACGCGTCCCCTTCGGCCTCAAAGGCGCGCCCGCGTGGTTCCAACGCTTCATGGATCGGATCCTCGGAAGGCTACGATGGATCCACGCCGTCGTCTACCTCGATGACGTCGTCGTCTTCTCCAAGACGATCGAACAGCACGTCGAAGCCCTGGACACCCTCCTCACCGCGGCGACGCAAGCCGGCCTCCGCTTCTCGCCTGACAAGTGCCACTTCGGCCTCCGCTCGCTCGCGCTCCTCGGGCGACAACTGTCCAGCGCCGGCGTGTCAGTGCAGCAAAGGAAGACGCAGGCGGTGCGGGACATCGCAGCTCCGAAGACGCTTCAGGACCTCTATCACGTCCTAGGGCTCTTCAACTACTACCGCGAGTTCATACCGAGGTACGCCCAGCGCGCCCTACCGATGACGCGACTGCTCAAAGGGCACCGGTACAAGCGGGTGGGCGACAGAGACAAGAAGTGGTCACTGGTCGACGAGCACGATCAGCGCACGACGGCCTCACGCGTGGCTCTACAGTGGGGTCCCGAACAGCAAGCCGCCCTCGATGACCTAAAGGACGCTCTGAGCTCGCCACCAACCCTCGCCTTCCCCGACTACACGCGACCTTTCATCCTCTACACCGACGCCTCTCAAACAGCGTTCGCAGCCGCCCTCCATCAGGACACCACCGCCCAGGCTTTTCCGCTGTCGTCAATCACCCCTGCCACCACCGTGCCACTATCGCTCGAGCGCATCCGACAGGGCCAAGCGAGCGACACCGCTATACGCGCCATCCGGGCTCGCCTACAGGGTCGGTTCGACTCAGACACGCCGAGCGCGAGCGACGACGAGGACACCGACAGCGAGACAGACACGTCAGACGCAGTCGAAGCACCAACTGTCCTGACCGGGGGAGGCGGAAGCGCGCCACCCACGGCTCAACTCGAGGCACCGCACGATGAGGAACACCCCGCGCCCGACACGACTCCGACAACGTCAGGCCGCAGCCGACCACGACCAGACGATCACTTCGCCCTCCAAGATGGCCTGGTAGTCTACGTCGGACCGCATCGCACTCAGCGCAAGGTCTACCTTCCGTCAGCACTGCTCCACGACGCCCTTGCTGCGGCGCACGACCAAGGACATTTCGGTCTAGCGAAAACGCTCCCCAGACTCGACGGACTCTACTACCCTCGACTCGCCACGCTTCTCCGCACCTACATCGACAACTGTCCCCCGTGCTTGCGCACGAAAGCCAAGCCCCGGACCGGCCAGCTTTCCCTCGAGCGCACCGACGAGGCGTGCAAGCACGCGTTCCACTCGCTATCGATGGATCTCGTCCTCGGGCTGCCCGTCATCGACGGCCTGGACGCCATCCTCGTAATCGTCGATATGTTCTCCAAAACGCTGCTGACCGCCGCGTGTACCTCTACGATCACGGCGGACGGCGTCTACCGCCTCTTCTCTCGCCTCGTCCTACGGCGCGGGTGGAACCCCAAAGTCATCGTCACCGACTCCGACACCAGGTTCATCGGCGAATACGGTCGAGCATTCGCCGCCCGCATCGGCGCCGTCCTCCAACCATCGGCGCCTTACCACCAGCAAGCCAACCCCGTCGAACGACACATCCAAACGCTCAAACGCGTCCTGCGCACCCTCGCTCTGCAGTCGACGGGCACCTGGGTGGACGATCTCGACGTGGCAGAGCCGGCGATCAACGCCACTCCCTCGCTAGCCACCGGCTTCTCGCCGGACGACCTACTCTACATCCACAAGCCCAACAGCGTCGAGCTTCCGTCAACCGCAGCCCTTGACGACCGACGCGTCGAGGCACGCGCGAGAGTCGAGGAGGCCGTACGGAACCTTCTCTCGTCACAGACCGCCGCCAAGGAACGCTTCGATCGTCGCCACCAACCCCTGCCCGACCTCAGAGAGGGCGACAGAGTCTTCATACGTCTGAAGGACAGACCCGTCCCGATGGCAGGCACCGAACACCGCCTAGACCCCACCCTTCTCGGACCCTTCCCGGTCGAACAGGTCCTCTCCGACCACAGAGTCCGACTCGCCCTACCTCCGACTCTACGACTCGATCCACACTTCGACCGTTCCCACCTTCAACCATGCCCGCGGGACCCGGATCCCTTTGGCAGACCGCTCGAGAGCTCGGCCGTCGACAACAGCGAAGATGACGCTTCCGACACCCCCAGCCCAGCGCCACAATGGGAGCTCGAACGAATCGTCGGAACGAGAAACTACCGAGGCTACAAGCAGTATCGAGTCCTGTGGAAGAACGACCCGATGCCGACGTGGGAGTTCGAGGATGACCTGCGTGAGGACAAGTGCGATCAAGCCATCTCCGACTTCCACGCCAACCTTGACGCCCTCCCAGCGCGACGGCGCAAGCGCAACGCCCGTCAAGCCTACACCCTTGTCGCCCAAGATCTCGCCGTGTCCGACGCCGAGCTTTTGATCCGCCACGATCAGGCGCACCCCAGCCCCACGGAGCGCCCGATCGCGTTCATCTCCACACCCACCTCCGCGTCCGAGTCCAAACTCCTTGGCCTCGAACTCGAGATGTCCTGCTTGGCGTGGGCGCTGCACCAACTCCGCCATTACCTCGAGGGCGCCCCGGAGATCATCGTCGTAACGGACCACGCTCCTCTCGGCGCCGTCCTCAAAGCGTCCTCCAAGTCTCGCCGCCTCTTCACACCCCGCATCGAGCGCCTACGCACATACCTCCTTCCGTTCCTCGACTCACTCTCCTTCGTCCATCGCGCTGGCAAGGCCCACGGCAACGTCGACGCCCTGTCCCGTCTGCCACACTCATCCTAGCCCAACCACACCCAACGTCTTCCACACAGCCCCGTCGCATGTCCGCCCCTTCATTCCCGTCTCACGCACATACCCTCCACTCTTCACGCCGCCTCCTGTAGTACCACCACCTCTTCGCGCCCATTCCTGTACCGTAGTCCAGACGCCCGCATCGAAGGGGGGAGGGGGGGATGTCGCGCGCAGCTCGGTTCCGAGTCTTGGCGCGCGCGGCATCTTTTTCCCTCTCCGCGGCGCGCCTCCCTCCTTGATTGGAAACCATCACTTCACTCGCTCACTTCCTGCCCGCTACGCTGGCACACCTGCAGGATGCCGAGGAGGACAATGATAGCAGCAAGGTCCTTGATGAGCCAGCCGTCCTTGCAGCTGGGAATTGCAATGCGCGCAGGCTGCTCTTCACCGATGCAGTTGCATAGCTTGCAGCCCGTTGCCTGACCCCAGACGAGGAAGGCTGGGTTGCTGTCGTTGTTGTATCCTGTAAGCTGGATTGTCAGCTGACGCCAGCGCAGGAATGGCGCATTGTCCTGTGCCTTGCCCTCCTCCATCAGCCACAATGGCAGGCAGGTGCCCTGGCAGTCAAGGCTGAGGAGGACGGCGCTGGATGAGAGGACCGAGAGGGGTGGGCAAAAGACGTTTGCGGCCATGCCCCTTAGGGCTCGCCCACAGCGCCGCAAGGACAGCGTTGATCTGGGTATCGGTCACCCAAAACTTCTCCAGCACTCCGACGGGATACCAGCGTAGCGCACACGCATTGAAACAAATAATGGGTTGGATTAACTTGAGCATGTCAGGTGCAATAAGCTGGCCTTGTTCCTCAAACCACGTGGCAAGGGAGTGGGTGCTGTGGAGGATGGTGGCAAGCGCCAGGGGCGTTGCATCGTTGCCCAGCGGCAGGAGAGAGCGCACTGCATTGGCCTTGTGTTCTGGAAGCTCCTCTGTATTGGCCCCATCATTGTCGGCTGCTGTTTGCTTTGGAAAATGACAGAAGGTATGCATCACTTCCTTATCCAGATGCATTGCAGGAGGCATGCATATGCATTGGCTGCCAAGTCCGAAGCCGCAGTTGAGACCACTTACCAGGTTTGTGGGCCTGCATGCAGCCATCTGGACCCAGACCAGGGCATCAATAGCTCCATTGCCTTGTCTGCCTCTTTGATGGTTCCTGCTGCAAGCACCTTCTTGCTTGTTGTGCCACGCTAGCAGTCTGGCAGCCTCTTCTGCAGACATGCCCATCTCAGCAGCCACCTCAATCTCATCTTTTGCAATGTTCCCTTTGAGTCCCATAGTGTTGCACAGGTGGTGGCAGAGGGTGTGCAGAGCATGTCACTCCAATTGCCTTGGTGTGGGCCTGATGCCTTAGCCACTGCTGATGCTGTTGCTGAAGCTGATGCCACTGCTGATGCTGATGCTGATGCTGATGCTGATGCTGATGCTGATGCTGATGCCAGAGCCACTGATGATGCTGATGCCTTCATCTTTTCTTGCAGCAGGGGGGTCCTGCATCTCTCGCCTGCCTCAGCGCGTCTGTAGCACCCAGCCAGGTGGAGGTTGAGGTGCGAGAAGATGGGAGCGCACAGAAGCCTTTTGCTGCCAAGTCCAACCTCGCGCCTTCCACCGCCGTCCTCGCCATCATCACCATCATCTCGACACCTCTTTTCTTCAAAGACCTAGGACCTCGGCGACGGGTTTGCGGCACCAACTGAACAGTCTACTCGGATCGCACTGCGGCAGGCAACCAGCGTCCCCTGTCCAGAGCGAGGCACGACATCACCTGAGCGTTCCGAGGTCGCGAGCCCGCAAGCAGCATGTCGTACCTGCTTCCTCACTTGCCCTCCGGTGAGCATTCGATGAGCTGTGGCGATGTCCGCGCGCATGTCGGCGCATTCACTGATCACCCCGATCCCCCCCTTCGCCATCTTCATCCGCCGCAACCGCAGGCTGGCACGTCGACCAGGCGATCCTGTCGGAAGAGGACCGGGTGGTCGTCATCCGCTTTGGCCACGACCACGTGAGGCGCCGCGCGATCTTCTACCCGGGACCGTGCGATGGCCGTCTGAAGCGAGTGCTGACGTTCAGATCTCGTCTGCTCCCTTGACGCTCCGCAGGACCCGGTGTGCATGCAGATGGACGAGACACTGTACAAGATCTCGACGGCGGTGCAGAACTTCGCCGTCATCTACCTGGTCGACATTACGCAGGTGCCAGACTTCAACAAGGTGAGCATGCGGGCGCATCTTGGCGGGCCATTGGCAATGGGGCTCCAACAGAATACCGCGGCGACGAGAGGGGGCGGCTACTGACCGCCTACCGACGACCGGCGAGTGCGGCGCTCCTCCAGATGTACGAGCTGTACGACCCCTGCGCCGTCATGTTCTTCTACCGCAACAAGCACATCATGATCGACCTCGGGACGGGCAACAACAACAAGATGTGAGCAGTCCCGTGCCCGTTGGGGATGTCGAAGCGCGCTGGGAGAGCTAACCCGTATCAACTCCTCGACCTGCCTCTGGCCGTTGTCATACTCGACCCCGCCCTGGCAGCAACTGGGCCATGACGGACAAGCAAGAGCTGATCGACATTGTCGAGGTCGTTTATCGCGGTGCGAGCAAGGGTCGCGGTCTGGTCGTCAGCCCCCGAGGTGAGCATCGTGCGCGGTGGCGTGCCATGTCTGCCCGTCGTCTCGTCATGCCGCTTCGATGGCATCGCTGACACTGCTGGCCAACCGCTATATCCGCCTGTGCTGCTGGTTTCCTGTCGCCGCTCGTCAGACTACTCGACAAGGCAAAAGTACTGAGGTCGCTCCGCTTCGACCGCTCGTCATTCTGTAATTGTAACCTCCATCTTGGCGTCGACATTCGAAAAGCCTCTTCTACGTCGAGCAGGCCTGGTGCGAAGTGTGATCGCACGTAGGCCAGCAGCTACGGTGTAGGGGCGGCGAAGATGGCGTCGAGCTGGCCATGCCTTTTCGAGCTGGGAAAGGCCGATCGGGAACCGAAGGAGGGGCGGAAGGGCGAGGCATGCTGGCCGGAAAGATGAAGCTGGGCGGGCAGCAGGCCGTCATGAAGCTGGCAGAGGCAGGCGGGCGGTTGGAGCGAAAAAGGTGCCTGCCCGACGCGGCGCGAGCCTCGTCTCTGGCTGACATGCAGGCGGCCAGAGTCAGAGAGAGCGAGAAGGAGAAGAGAGGGTGCGGCGCTGCTCATGGGCCGACAGACCATCATCGGCCAGGTTTGCACCTCAGCCGCCCAACCCGGAGCAAGCTGGGCTCGAGCGGAGCACCGCTGCCACGCCACGCCACCCAACGCAACGCAACCCAACGCCTGCCGCTATCGCTATCACCATCACCATCATCACCACTGCTCTGAACCCGGCCCGCGCTCCCTCTCCCCCACCTCGACACCGGCTGCACCCGCCCTCGGCAGCTCTCGCAGGATCGCATCGCCTGCGCTACACTGCCTCCTCCCGACCGCCGCTCCCTCAGTCGCCTGCTACCCATCCAGCTCCGCCCCGCTGCGCTCCGCTCTGCTCTGGTCTGCTGCCCATCCTGGACACCGCCCGTCCGATCCGCGCCGACTGCCGTCCTCTCGAGCCGGCCTCGTCTGTCCTGACCCGTCCGTAGCAACAGCGCACCACTCAGAGGGCATCGCTCTCGCCGAGGCAAAGTCGGCTTAGTCGCCCGTCATCTCAGGCCGGATCGACTTAGCCAGTCCGAGATAGCGTGCAGCGAACCACCGGTGCTCGCGGCCTACCTCTCTCCGCCTGCACTCCTTCCACGCCTAAGCACGCCCGGCCACGCCCGCCACCATGAAGGTCAAGCTTAGGGTCCCGCTCGCCTCGACACCTCGCCAGACGGCCTCTCCGCTCTCCAACGCCAGAGGGCCAGACGAGATGGACGAGGACGACGCAGCATCCCCACAGCAGCTGCAGCTGCACCAGCAGCAAGCAGCTCTTGCCGGAACCTCGGAACCAGCGTCCGAAGACGATGACGACGAAGACGATGAGGAGGTCGATGAGGAAGACGAGGGCGACGAGCTCGACGGTGAGTAGCGGCCGGCGAGGATCATCACCAAATCGCTCCACGTCCACTCCGTCTCTGACCACCACGACCTGCCCACTCCTGCCCACCTCTCCTACGCTCTTACCTGCTTCCACGTTGCAGAGCTCGACGAGCTGGAAGACGAGATGCCCGCACCGCCCGCCACCACGTCCAACCAGGTATCGCCCAAGCGCAGCCGGATCACCGTCAAGCCAAGAGCACCAAAAGGCCACGCTGACGCCGCCTCGCCCTCGCCAACACCTTCGTCGAACGCCAGGGAAGGCGGATCAACCGAGAGCCCGCGCGGCACGCCCTCGGAACGGGCCAGGATCCTCACGGGCAAGAGGGCGGCGGCAGCGCGCCAGGAAGAGGCGGCGCGCATGACAAAGGAGGAGCTCGATGCGCTGCCCGCCGCCAAGCGGCGCAAGAGCCACAAGGCGCGAGGTGCTCCTGGTCCGGGACGAGGATGGAGAAAGGGCCTGACAAAGTGAGTGGCAGTCGCCCGCGGCGGGCACATTATGTTTGATGCTCGAAAAGTGAGCGACCTGACCGGCTCGACTGACGTCTCGGCCATCGCCGTGCCTTTCGCCGCATCGCAACAGGGGACAGAAGCCGGTCTACGAGCTGCCGGCAAGCGCACTGCCAGAAGCAGGGTCGACGCCGACGACGTTTGGCAACACCACGTCCTCGGCTAGAGCCTCGCCGCAGGTGGGCAGGTCGGGCGGCGAGGGCTCTGGCAAGCGGGCGGCGCAGTCGGCGGCCGTGGCCACGGTCAAGATCCAGGACGCCAGCGGCACGCGCACCCACGTCAGCGACCTGTCTGCCAAGGCGGGCACGGCCAAGAACCCAGGCTTCCGCTACCCGCCCCTGCCCAGCAGCCGTGGCGGCCCTCCGATCCTGCCCATCTCCAAGATCCCCATCACCTTCCAGGCGTCGGCGTCGATGGACAAGAAGAAGGAGCCGCGCACCTGGAACAAGGGCAAGCGTGAGTTCCTCAGCCTCGGTGGGCGGCTCTGGAGCGTGCCGACGTGGTACGGCGGCGAAGACAGGGGCTTTGAGAAGAAGATTGATCCGACGATAGCGCCGCTGCTGGCGCAGTCGACGACAACCAACGCATCGCTGCTCGCCGCCGCCAACGCGGCCAAGGGCACGCCGACGCCGACGCCGGCACCGGGACAAGCGGCGCCGAGCACACCGAGCGCGGGCCGGAAGACTGGGGCGACCTCCGCGACGACTGCGTCGGCCGCGGCCGCCGCGTCGAGGCTCTCGCCGGACAAGGCGACCGAGCGTTCTGAGACGCCGCTGAGCAACGCTGGCGGGGCGAGGCGCGCCACGACGACGACGGGCACCGTCTCACCGCTGCCGCCGCCGCGCCACATTGGTGCGGTCAGGGAGGACGTGAGCTGGAGAGGTCAGAGCCCGGCGTTCTTGGCCGGGGGTCGGTGATGGGCGGCGAGGCCAACAAAGAGGCTGCAGCGACTGAATTGGCCCGCACACAGCCAGGCAGACAGACGGGCAGGAAGACGCCTGCGTCCGGATGATGGGAGGAGCGACAGACGATGGGTGGCGGGCGGACCACGTAGCACCGTAGCTCGGCGAGCAAGTGAACAGGGGCAATGATTGCACGGGCCAGACGGCCAGTCGCTTCTACTGCAGAACCAAAGCGTGGCGTGGCGGCGTGGCGTGCGACCGAGCGAGGTTGACAGGAGCCGAGCCGCAAGGGCGTTCAGAGCACTGCAGAAAGGGGCGGCGAGTGGACGATGACAGACGGTCAGCACACCGGGCACCCTCTGACCACGGCGACAATGGAGAGCTGCAACTCACTTCTCCGCTTCTTGGGACGGACGCCGCCGACCTTGACGGGCGTCTTGTCGGTCATTTTGAGCACGAGCTGCCGGGTGGCCTGGCCCTCGCCGGCGAGCAGGGCGCGATAGACGGCCTCCCTGCCCTGTCCGAAGCCGTTCCAGAAGACCTCGAGGTTGAGAATGCCCCAAGCGTCGCGCTTTTCGCCAATCTTTGCAAACATGTTGAAGGCGGCGCGGTAGCCGGCCTCGTAGCCGCTGCGGGCAGCCTTTTTGAAGCCGACGCTGCCGCCCGACGACGAGGCCAGCGGCTCGCCCTCGGGGTTGGTGAGGGTGAGGATGGTGTTGTTGCGCGAGGTGCGCACGTGCAGCTTGTGCGCCGGCGTGTCGGCGTAGCGCGAGCGGATCTCGGCGCGCAGCGCACCACCCCTGAACCCGCGAGATTCTTCTGACGTCGCCGTCGTCGTCGTTCCCTCCGGCGTCGTCGTGGAGGAAGCGTCCATTCCGGGCAGAGACATGGCCGACGAGCCGGCGGAGGCGAGGATGTCGTCGAGGCTGGCAGAGGGGGCCGGTCGGCCTGCCGGTGCGGTGGATGAGGTGACGGCAGATGCCAGCTCCGGTGTCGATGCGGATGCTTCGGACGCCGGTGCGGAACCGGGTGCGCCTGCGACAGCGTCGGCGGCCGTTGGTGCGTCTGCGGGCGACTTTGGTGTGGGCATCGATGCGGCATCGATCTGTGCGGTGGCAGGTGGCGTCGGAGCGTCATCGCCACCGCTGCTGTTCCCACCTTCCTTGTTCGGACGGATCGCGGAGGAGGAGATGTGGCGGTGCGCGGCGTTGACGAGGTACGAAGTCGAGGCTGTCGATGGCCCGCTGGTGCTGACGGCCTGGCCGAGTCGAGCCGTGGCGGGCCGAAGCGCCGCCGTGTTGAAGAGCTGTCGCAGCATGGTGTCGCGTGCTGTGGTGTCGCCGAGGTAAGGCGAGGAGTTGCACGGGGAGCGAAGAAGGAGAGGTGACCTTGTACGCAGTGGAGGCCCCGAGTCGATGCGATGGGATGGTGTCAGCTAGCCAGTAGGAGCGCCGGGCTGCAGCCGTCCTGATGGCCTCGGAAGAACGCAGCGCAGAGGAGCGGTGGGTTAGGGCGCACGAAAAAATGGCCGCCAGCCCAGCCCGCCAACCGCCAGCTCGAGTTTCGGTTCCGCAGCGACCCTGACCTTTCTCGCACGGGATCGATGAGTTGGGCCTAGACCGTGGCCTGACGCGCGTGGCCGTGGCGCCGGCCAGCCGAGGGCGTCTCAGGGGCTGTTGATGTTGGCGGTCGGGCCGGTGTTGGTCTACTAGCTGTAGCCAGACAGGCAGGCAGGCAGGTCCTCCTGGCTGCTTGCCCTTTGCTGACCTCCTTTTCGCCAGCGCGGCGAGCCAGGAACGAGTCGAGGCCTGGTCTGCAGGCGGGCCTCATCCTGCTTGCTCTAGCTGTGCCGCAGACCAAAGGCAGGCAAGCAGGCTGACCTGCCTGTTTGGTGCTGCTGCTGCTGCTGCTGCTGCTGCTTCCTGGACCAGGGTTGAACATCCAAAGCCAGGCCAACGCCTTAGCCGGCGGCCGAAGCGTGGGCGTTGCAGGATGTCGGGCCCGCTCGATCTCATTCACTTCAATCCAGCATCCTTGCCTGCCCACCACGTCCTCTATCCACGACTCCATAACGACCGCAGCAACGAAACGACGAACAGCGACGAACGACCAAACAATCGGCCAGCATCTTCTACCGGATTGCGTATCGGACCGTTCACGACGACTTGCTCCTCTTGCTAGACGCACCGACGTATCGTCAGGACCCCCTTTCTCCTAGCCAGCACGCCAGGCCGGAGACCAGCATGCCACCCCGGCCGCTATCGCACGATGCCGATGACGAGACTCGCGCACTCACCGGGCCTCCGGAGCTCCTCGATGCCGACACCACCGATTACTGGGATGACGCACAGGGTGAGTGGTGTGGCGTGGAGTCGCTGTCGCTGTCGCCGCACCGGCTCTGTATCTGCAGCGCATCGTCCAGACTGTCTGTGCAGAGGCAGCGCGGATGAACGGCTAGGCCGAGGGCCAACGGGTTCGATCGCAGCACGCGGCGTCGCATCGACTGCCAGAGGTGGTTTAGATCCCTGCCTACGGTACCTACCACGCCGCCTGTGCCGCAGCAGGACGAACTACGAGCGGCGAGGAGAGATGAAGCGTACGCGACCACGCGCAGTCGCTTGCCGGCCTTGGTCGACGACAGCAGCAGCGGCGTCGGCGGCCGCGTCTTGTCCGCCAAGAACGCGGCCCCTGTTGCCGGCGCTTGGCAGCGTCGGTCGGCACAGCCCCCGTTCGCTCGTCCTTCGACCTTCGCACCGCGGTCGCCCTGCCTGCCCCTTCTCCACGGTCTATTCTCGGACGCCTCTTGGCCTCGCCTTGGCTTGGCTTGAGCTGGCTACCGCAGTCTTGCCTGCCTGCTGCTTGCTTGTCTGACCCCTTGGCCGTGGAATTTCTGGGCGGCGGCGGTACCTGGCAGCGTCTTAGCCTGACCGGCCGGGCGCATCTTGCTGAGCCCGTTGGCTAGACGTGCTCGCCACCCACTCCCTCGGCGTGCCACCTCTAAGGCCGGCGTGCGTGCTTCGACGGCCCGTCTAGTCCTTCTTGGCGCTACCGCATGTCGTCTTCGCCGCTCCTGGTCCGGTCCTGGCCTCTGCTGGCTTGCCGCGCTGGTGCCATGACGCCGGGTCGCTGCACCGGCCAGCGTGGTCGGAGCATCGGCTAGGCTAGGGTCCACACGTCTTCGCCGACTTTGGCGCAGTCGGCGCGCAGCAACACCGTACCACCGTACTTGCTTGGCCTGGCCTGCACCATCCCCCCGCCTCGCTGGCCACACCTCTCTGGCTTGGTCGTGATACGGCTGGATGGCCGGATCGCTCGTCGGCCAGCCAGGCATGTCCACCAGCCTTGGGCCGGCCACCCCCGCCTGCCGCAGCTGACCGTCTGCTGCCATCCTCGTCCTCCTTGCACGGACGCTGACCTGCACGCTGTCCTTGCACCTCCCTTAACCTCCCCATCGTCGACCTCGTCTGCGACCCCATCCCCTTTGCCCCCACTGCCCTCGTCTCAACGTCCCCCTGCCATCGACGACAGGCCTCCCTCCCCCTCACCGCCTCTCGACCCACCACTCGCCCTCGCCCTACCCCAACTCGTTTGAGAGTCTTCCGATCGCGCCGCCGCGCCCCTCGACGAGCGCCTACATCGACCCCTTTGCCAACGGCCACCGCACCAGCACCTACGCGCTCGACGACGAGACGCCCCGCGCATCCATGTCGTATCCCGATCACCACGACTACTACCCGCCCCCCACCGACGTCTACAGCACCGGCGGCCCCAAGGGCTACATGCCCGCCATGGACTCGACCGACTCGCTCACGGGCCGACGCGGCGGCGAAAAGGACTACGACAGCGACGCCTGGGGCATGAGCGCGTCGGGCT